TGTTGAACCTCATCCCGTTGGAATCAGCCCAACTCTCCAACCTATCCAGGTCCCTCTGCAGAGCCCTCCTGCCTTCCAGCTGATCCACACTCCCACCTTTGCCCTCTTCAACAGAGGTTCTTTTTACAAAATATTTTTGAAAAACACTCCATCACATACTCCACCACGTGCCATGTTTAATCTCTGTGCACAAAACACACATTCTGTACCTGGAAGAGAGCCACACCAGGCTGTGGGATCTGAACACCTGAGGTCAGCTCACTGTCCTTGTGTTGCTGAGGCTGCCTCCTTTTGCCCTCACGGTGGAGCCCTGCCTGTAACACACTGCATTTTCTTCAAAAAGGCTCCTGTGTGCACATGTAAGGAGCAAGGCCGCAGGCTGATTTGAACACAGGCTCCAGATGCAGCGTCCACAATGCCAGCAGTGGGCCACTAGACCAGAGAAACAGACCCCCACTCCCTTTTCCACCAGGGACAAACACCCCCAGCTCCCCCCTGCAGCCTTTCAGGAGATGAACTGCTTGGTGAATGCTCCTCCTCCCTCACTGTCCAAAGACAACGGAACAAGGCTGGAGCAGAAAGCAGCATGAGAAGCATCATCTCTTACCAGCCACATCTGGGAAACATAGCTGGAGATTTCTGTATCACCACTGTGATAAACAAAGTCTTGTTTCTATAAGTTTTTGAATAGGAGTTTATTATATGGTAAAAGCAAGCAGCCGGCTGGGTGACAGAAATGGGGACAAATTTCCCAAATCTGCACACACACTACAGTGTACATTTGGCATTTATCTTAGCTACCTCATGCATATTAATTATATCATATACATATACATTTTACAGGTTTTTTGCTAAGCATTTAATATATGGGTTTTCTTACAGCTAAAGCTAAATGGTTATCTCTACAACTGGTCCTAATTCATGCATTCTTGGACCAACAGGCGCCTAAAAGATTTAAAGTTCTACCATATTTTATTCTTAGGATAGTAGGGAGGTTTTAGGGCCCCTTGACCTTGTAAAGGTCTGTTTTATTTCTTTATGGGGGTGTAATTAAGTTTTACAATCCGTTTGTTTTATTTTGATGTAATCACCCATTTGTTTCATGAATCACAATTATTTATTTATCACAACCACCTAATAATTCAGTCAACAACAACAGCAGCTAGGCAAGTGATTTCACACAGCCAAGAATTACACAAAACCAGTCTCTGTAGTCACCTTTCTGCTGCTCCTCTCCTCACTTAATAGGGAAAACTCTACCCTGTTTTCTGTTACAGCTACATGATGCCCATAGTACACACTGGACTTCTGATAAAGATTATCCTTAACCTTGCCAGTTTTCAGGAGAAACTTGCAGAAAAGGGCTGACTGAAAAATTTCACAGTAAGGGGATTTGTGAGCGGCAGTCCAAAAACTGAACACTTTTGTTAAGAGCAGAACACCTCCATCAGGGATCAGGTTTCTCAACTGCTGGAATTACCCTTTTCTCTTCAAAGATACAGAACCTGAAATTTGAACCCTGAGCAAACATCCAAGCTTTTAATATTCATCCCAAATGTCTTGTCTTTCAAAGGAGCACCAGAGCTGTCTGACACCACTGACCCGAATGCCTTTTCCTCTGCCTGAGGCATTTGCACTTCACTCAGCACATCTTTCCACGCTTTTAAATAACAACAACTTGTTGCTTCTACTGATGTTACCATATGAAAGAAAAGTGGTGTCTTCACCAGGAAGTATTCCAGTGGAACAAGCTTCCAGTGAAGTGCATCATACTGACTCAAGAGATCAGGTAAATGTTAGTAGTTTACTGTAAGAACTATCAGCACCATTTGGGATTTCAGAATATAAAAACTGATGACCTAGCAAAGCCAGACGTTTTTTGTTGCACATTGTGTCCCTCTGAATCACAACTGTGAAGTGACACAAGAGAAGCTACCCAAGAGTGATGACTCAAAGATCAGCCCTACAATTTGTTAGCAGAAACACCGTGACTGTGGTGCAAGAACTAGCTTGTACCTAGCCCTTTTCTCTGCAGAGGAAACTTTTACAACTGACCACGCCCCTGCCAGGAATCAAAAAAAAGCAAACTCCCAAAATTTGCAGTGCCTTCTGATCTATAGCTAAACAAGCTACCATCATGATCCATGAACACTTCCCTTCTTGTCTCATTGCAGGACTAAATTTCCTGTTTCCTTTCTTAACACACATGTAAAATTAGGCTTCTCTTTGAGACATCCTCTCTCTGTCTTCACCTCCATTTCAAAGCAACCCTTAGCCAGTCATGCTTGGAGTATATGACCAGAGGATTCCTGACCCCGGTGTATAAAAACTAATTTGTAAGAAAAGAGAAGGGGGAGGGATTTTATGTAACATCCAAACAACAAGAGCAATGCATTTATACAAAACAATTCCTTTATCGCTCCACACCACAGGCTTTTACAGCTGGCATCATATAGTAGTGGCATTGAACTTGGAGCTTAGGACTATAAATGTTTACACATGCTTTTATTTCCCATCCTGCTACCCTGACTTCTCGTTCCAGCAGTGGAGGGACTGGAATTTCCCTAGGAAAGAGCACGAGAAACATACTTTGGATACCATTTCAATGCACACTGTAAAGAGTTCACAGCACAGGCCTGCGATTCTGAAATAGGGTGGAAGCAGATGGCACCACAGCCTCTAGGTCACCTTATTTTTTATTTTTACTTCATGTGCTTCATACCAAGAAGACATATTTAAACTGAAAGCTACTAAAGTCTAAGGTTTTTACTGAAAGAAAGTAGCACAGAGCATATTTAGGCATGGAAAAAGAATTTCTGTTGTCAAATCTCTTCTGCTCCTTTCTCAAACCCCCTCAATACCTGTTTTTGTATTCATTGCCAAAATGAGCTTGTTGTTATGCTTTTAGTAAATTAAGTATTCTTTACTAATTGCAGTACATACTCTTGTGAGCACTGGTAGTATTGGTGGCTGACTGGTTCTCAGCTAACCCTTTGCTTTTGAAACAAAAAGTTTTTGCGCAGCTTCCCTTAGTCCATGGGTGCACGTCTAACACGGACTACTGCTTTTAAAATATGGCTCATCTTACATTTCCAGATTTCAAACCCTGGAAATGTATGCAACAGCCCAACTCTGAACTACCAAGCCCTCTGAGGAGGGAGAGACAAGAGTACAGCAGAGCAAAAGCAAGCAAGCTAATTCTACTGTAAGTAAATTCATTGTTAAGCAGTCTGTTTGGCCCTGCCGTTTGTCTCCTCTATTCTTAAGCTTTCTGAACTTTAGAACTTTTCCACAACCATTTTTAGCTTTACAGACACTTCCATTTTTATTTCATAAACCCAGCTGTGCAGTATTGGCCTAATTCAGCTCAAGATCTGAAGTAGGAGGGATATTCAAATCAGCCACCAAGCCCACAAAGTAAACGAACCAGACCTTTGGAAAAGGAAATGCATGGTGAAATATTTCCTTCAGTCTCTTTTAACACTTTTAATTGCCCATCCTCCATTGCTGTGCCACCGGGATACTATATTTTTTTTTGTTCTGACTCCACTGACCTGCCTCACAAAAACAAAAAGCTAGTTACCGAAAGCCTTTATAAAATCATGTTTGTTTTCAGTTGAACTATAACCTGGCCATTGCTAAAATGTGGCCCCACAAGGATTTAGTGGAATTCCTCCAAATTGGTTGGATGTATAACACTTGCTCCTTTGCATTTCCAGCTGGCTCTTTATCCCGGCTAGCTCTTCACTGCAAATGGGACTCTATGGCTTTGTTCAAGATAACTGGACACAAGCAGGTAGAGCCTCTTCGACTGCCTCTGGGGGAATATACTGCCACCTAAGAGGAAAGCTTTTGTAGCTGTTCTGGAAGGAGGGAAAACCAGGAAGACTATGGCTGTTATCAGAAACAGAAATGCAAAAATAGTACAACTACTACCTAACCCTAAGGGAAAGAAAATTAGCAACGAATAAACAGGTAAGAAACAACAACTGTTTCTCATTACTTATGCAACAGAACAAAAAACCTATCTGGTTTCAGCTAGTGGCTACATACAAAAGCAAAGCATATCTATATGCATGATATTGTTCAAATTGTTTTATCAAGAAGTTTCCTAGAGCAGTAATGCTGCTAGAGCACTCAAGCTCTGCAAAACTTGCTTGATTTTTCTTTCTACAACAAGGCAAAGAGGAGAACCTGCAAGAGTGGAAAGGTAAGGGTGTAGAGAGGAGAAGCCACAATTATGGGAAGCACACAGCAATGCGGAGGTTGGCTTTGATGCCAGAATTTAACACACTCTCCCAAATGAGGTGGGGAAGTTCAAGAAGGAAAATAATTAAGTTTATGAAGAAAGATTCTAAGTGGTAGGCTTACAGGAGATAATCTTTCCAGCAACTGAGGTCACTCCTAACTCAGAAGATTTTTGTGGATGAAGGCGCATGTTTGGCATACCTATAAAGTAATCGACTAAGGAAATCTATTGCCCAACAGTGATATGCTCCTAACCATATAGGCACAGTAAATTGAAAACCTCTTAATTTACATCAGGCAACAGTTCCAGCACTCAGGTCATCTGCATAAACAACAATACACCTCTGCAATAGATGCACCAGGAGATTTTTATGCTGTGCAGCCCAAAAGTGCAGGGATGACCTACATGCTGTAAGAGGTGGATTCTTGCCGATGCCTTCGGTGTTTACTCCTTCGACATTGGAGGAACTTCAAAGAACTTCAACCACCACGGTATTTTTACCGTATTTACTCCGTATTACAAGACTAGTTACACGGGGGAAAGGAAACAAACCTTATTAGAAAAAACCAACCAACAAACAAAAAAAAAACCACTAGACCTATGAAACCATAAGGCCTCTGCAGATTAAACCTCGGCATCCTTACTTGGTTATTGCCGTGCGGAATTCCGATCTCTTCGGCAAATACAGGAACGGTTATTTAAGGATTCCCCAGCTCTCCCCGAAGCTCCGCGGGGCTCTCCCCGCCCGCCTTTCCCGTGAGGCGGCGTCGGGCGGGACCGAGCGCTCGCTGCCCGCCCCGTCCTGTCCCACCGCGCCCGGGGAGGCGGGACGAGGGTCGCGGCCCGGAGCCGGGGGCGGAGGCGATGGCGGCGGAGGCCGCCGACCCGCGGAGAGCCGGAGACCTGCCGCAGCTGGTGAGCGGGGCCGGCTCTGGCTCTGGTGGGGAGCGGGGCCGAGCTGGGGCTGCCCTGGCTGGGGGTCGCGGCCTGGCCATGGGTCTGCTCGTACGGCCGGGCGGGAGGGGCGGGCAGCCGGGCGGGCCCCCCCCTTCTCCCTTCGCTGTCTTAATTTCCACACACCCACCCCCCTGCAGGCGGAAAATCTGCTGTGTCGGCTGCAGGAGAATTTTCAGGCTCTGACGGAAAAGTTAACGCTGAGAAATATCCTCTTTGGAACGCGGTGTAGTTGCACCGCCGGAAAGACTGCGGCTCCTGCGGCTGGGGTCCCGTATGGGGCGAGCTTTGCTTCTAACATCGGGATGGGCTTCTTTCCTAAACATCAAATTAACGTGTAATGATTGACGTTGCTAAACACCTATGATGTAAAAACAGCTGAATTGCCCCCCCAAGCCCATTTATTTATCCCTTTTCTAAAGAAAGAAATCCCAAAAAAGGTTTTACTAGAAGTAGCGAAGTAGTCTCTGTGCGGCAGTTGTTTCAAATAAGCATCAAATTATATGTAAAGATTCTGAAGGTACATTAAAAAAACCCACAACCATCTTCAAAAATGCAACTCAAATTAGCCATGTGGTGTTGGTTTGAAAACAGCTGTTGGCCTCCTGAGTGTTGCAAGGTGAGCCCTCAAAAAGAGAAATTAAGACCTGAAGGGGCTCTGCGCTTTTTCATTTGATATACTTACAGAAACTATCTCTGCTTTCTGAAACTGCACATTTATTACATTTTTTCCTGAAACTCGGCATTTCAGGAAGCAGCTGCTTTAGTGTAAGAGAAAAATAATGTTTTAGCAGCACTCGTATTCTGATTGTGTAGGTTGACAGTATGGTATCACCTAAAATAGTTCCTCAGAAAGAAAACAATCTTTTAGACAGAAAATACTCCACTCCTGGATATACACAAAGGCTTTTGGTATTAAGAACTTGAGTGCTTGTCTGTTGCAAGAAAGTGGTATTGTCTTGTAACAATACAATCTTGAGCATAGTTCATCGGGCATTAAACGTGGATAAGTAAGATGCTGAGACATCTGAAAAAAAGGTGCTTGTTTTTCTTACAGAAAAAAACCCTGTAAAATTATAGAATTCTTATTTATAAATAAGTTATCTTTAACTTTTTACTGGAAGAAATGGGTGAGCGCATCAATGACCTTGAGAAGCGTGTTGCTGACCTGATGACAGAGGCTGGGATAGAAGAGAACACTGATGAAGACTTGAGAGTAAAGAAACTTAATTAAGTGTTTATGTATTTTATATATTTTATAATTTTGAATGATGGGCAAGAATTAGCATGAAAATAACGTTTGCATATTTACATATTCAAAAGTGTACTTTTTAAAAACATATTTAAAATTATCTTGGATTTCTGTTTGCCAAGAGCCAAAGAATGCTACCAGTTTTACAAAAGAAAAGCCGCATCTTGCTGCGTCTCTTTCAGCTGAGTGCCATGTATGAGGGGGGTAGTGCAAACTAATCCCAAGTATGTAAATTGAGGCTGTACATTTGTAAGGAAATGTATGTGGCTTAAAGTGCTCCTGCCCACCATTCCTGTCCCTCAGGTATGCTAACCTAGCTGACTGAGGATTCCCACTGGTATAAATTTATGTACATGTGCTTTTAAACCTGCTTCAGCTTCCCAGCATGGCTCAGAGCACACCTCTTACATGCACTCTTAGTATTTATGAGACGGCCTTGCTTCCCTGTTCTGTGGATGCAGGTGATGTTGTCTTCCTGTTGTTGCACACTTTCCTGATTCAAATTGAGACACATCAATTATTCTTGTGATTGAGACTGCTTACCCAGTGAAAGACAGAAACGTCTGGAAATATTCTGAAGTAATTTCGGCCTCTATTCATTGTGATGCCTTTTTTGTGATAAGCTATGAAATAATTTTCAGAAACACAGAAAGACAATCTACAAAGTTGTATTTAACTGTAAGAGATCTCCATATTTTCATGCTGAATCACATTCATGAATAATTAAATAACCTACTTACTCACTGTTTCTTTGCAGCATTGAAAGAAGGATGTGTTCAAGAAACACAAAGGCAGAACAGCACTGCATTGACTCCAGGAGTTTACAGTCAGTGTCACATTGACAAAAAATGTAAAGAGACAACAAACATGTTTGCATCATGTCATGACAGAATCTCTTTTTTTTTTTTAAACTATTGCCCCAGAAAAAAAAGTAGAATGATGGGTTTACTTATCTAAATGTGGCACTGTATTTCCTGGAGCTGAAAAAGAACTGTTAGTTTCAGAGAAGGCAAACCCACTATTTTGGATAAAGAACTAAATTTATCCAATCACAAATTTTTGTAATCTATGAAAATGTATTTAATTTATTTTAATAATATTAAAATAATAAGTTTTCTTTGTTGCCTTTTTACCTGTAATGTTCCAGAATAACAAGATCCTTCTAGGACAAAAATTTTTATTTGCATGTGCCATCTTCTTGCTTCTTTAAATGTTTTACATCACAAAATGCACCTTATTTGATGTTACTACAAAGGTGCCTCAGAGGTCAAATGAATATAAACCATTCTGCACTAAAAGAAATGGCAGTATTTGCACAGAGTACAGATGCTCAGTTGTTACTCTTTTCACAAGCCCACCCAAAGCCACACACCGATGCAGATAACATCACCCAGGTATGCGGATTGTGCCAATTTCAGTGCTTTAATGTCAGCTGTTTTAATGAAAGAGTTTATTTTATAAACTTTGAGGTAATGAGGAATTCTAGTTGTCAGATAATTCCTGAACACAATGTGGTAGAGTCAGAGAAAATAGGACATCTGCATTAATGCCAATGCCAAAACATTGGCACTCTGCAGGAAAGATTTAGCTTGAAAGGCAGTGGGAACCTTTTACCATAAATGCAGAAACTGAAGCATTGCCAGGTGAATATCTAATGGGGAATAAATGCATCTATTAGAGTCTTCATTAATATCAAGAAATCATTCCAATCAATGCTTTAGTCAGTGTAGACTTGCAAGTATTGTCACACTGGGGCTGATGTGCTGGAGGACAGGCTGGAGAAATAAGCCATCAGGAACCTCATGACGTTCAAAGGCATGTGCTAAGCTGGGCTCTGGGACACAGCAGTTGTGAGGGGCTGGCTGGCACACTGCTTTGCAGGAAAGGAGTGGGGTCTGGGGGGTGACTGAGTCAGCAGGGTGCCCTGGCAGCAAAGGCTGCAGCCACTTGCTGGTCAGCATTAGCATAAGATGAACCAGCAGGTCCTTCCCCTCGTTCAGTTGCCTTGAGACCACACCTAGAGCATTGTGTCAATTTGGGGGCTCACCAGGTCAAGGTATCTATTGTGAGGGAGTTACAAAAGAAAGCCACCAAGATACCGTGGAGTACAAAGCATACAAGAGTTTGAGAGAATTCTGGAATTCTGTTAGTTCAGCCTTTTGAAAAAACTACGGTTTCCTGCTGCCAACAACTACCCCCTAATAAAGCACGGGGAAAACTTAGAGGACTCTTTGAGGTGTTTCACACCAGAGAGTAATCTGAGACAAGCTGAAACACAGAAAATTCCAGCTAGATACAAGGAACGTTTTTCTACTAGGAAGGTGCACTGGCAGCAGAATAGGCCTTCCAGAAAGGCTGAGGAATCTCCATCCTTAAAAGATCACAGAACCATCAGGGTTGGAAGAGACCTTCAAGACCATTTAGTTCAAACAAAATACTTAACACTGGACACAGTTCTGGGCAACCTAAGCAAGTGGGACCTACTATGACTCGAGTTTGGTGGTCCCTGCCAACATAAATGATTGCAGAATTACCACTGTTGTATTGGGTCTAGCTGAGATAGAGTTCATTTCCCCATAGCAGCCCTCACAGTGCTGTGTTTTGCAATGGTAGCCAGAAAGGTGTTGGTAACACACCAGTGGGTGTTACAGGGTCAGCACTGTAACATTCTTTCCACAATTGAGAGCAAGATCCTGGGAGGGAACATAAGTAGGCCAGCTGACCCACACTAACCAAAGGGATATTCTATACCATATGACATCAGCTCAGTTATAAAGGCTAAGGAAAAGAAGAAGGGGGGGCATCCATTATTTTACAAATATTGCCTTCCAGAGCAACCCCTCCGCATGCTGAAGCCCTGCTTCCCAGAAGGTGGCTGAATACTTGCTAATGGGAAGTAGAGAATACATTTTTTTTTCCCTCTTGGCTCGTGTGCACACAAACTTTCACCTTTGCTTTACTAAACTGCCTTATCTCAACTTATGAGTTGTTTTCCATCTTGTTTTTTCTCCCCGGTCCAGCTGAGAAGGGGAGCAATAGAGTGGCTCAGTGGGCACCTGGCATCCAGCCAAGGGCAACCCACCACAACTGTAAACCAGATTAACTCCAGCAGGAATTGTGTTTTACTTCTGTGACTCATTCTAAATCCTCTAAAATACGCTTGACGGTAAAAAAGCATATTCTGCTTTGTCTTGTGACAAACTGGACCAAAAAGTACAGGTATCTCATTTCTGCGTAGGCTGGTTTGTTTTTTAATTAATCCTGTAAATATGCACGTATCATGTTAAAAAACAAACTCCCACAGAACGCCAACTCCAGAAGTTGGCAGAAATGCAAACAGAAATTTCAAGAGTCATGCCACAGTGGAATCCAGTCCAAGTCTCCCGAGTATATATGCATTTTAGTATACCATTAGACAAACTGGAGATCAAGTGACAGAAAGCATGGCTCGTGGTTTCTTCAGCTGGTGGCTGTGCAGCCAGCTCCAGAACAGCAATTATGCTTTGGCTCTGTAGAATCTACTGAGTACTTTAAACTGCCTCCCGTGTGCACAACCACCATGTAAAAGGAGTCTGTCACCACAAGTCAATTAAGCTGATGGGGAGAGGGTTGTGTGCAAAGTCATGGAAGATGTTTTCTCTGAGTTTTGTCAAATATTAATTATCTGATCTTTGCTAAATATTAATCAACGCACCTTAGAGTTTTATTCCCATTTTTAGTGGAAACATAAGGCTAATATTCTACACAAGTAAATCCTGAGAAAAGTGATAAGCCTTCATCTTCCAACATAATGGATTTGCATCCAATTACATCTGTGTTCATTCACAAATTTAATTAGCTGAAAAAAATTAAAGTGAATATGTGGAACTCTCACTTTATTCTTTTAAAAAGAATATCGTTTTCCCAGATATTTTTGTAACAAAAGCAGACAAAAACAGTCAAAATGTTTTTCTCCAAACAGGCTTTCTGTGTACAAAAATACATAATACCAAAAGGACAACAAAGAGTAAAGTCTTTAAAAAATAAAACCCCAAAATTCAGCTACAATAATACTGCAGTCAAGACAGTCACAGGCTTTGAGTCTTCTACTTTTCAAACAGATTTTAAACCTTTTAAATAATTAAAATTATGCTCAAAGTTCAAGGATTTGTAGGTTGTTTTTTTTAATATACATATATGTACACACGCAATAATAAATTCAAGTGGATGTAGAGTTGAGAGAAAAGGCAGCCCAAAGACACGTCAGTATCTGTATTTAGTGGAATAATCTTTTGGCGATACCACCAAACCTCGACCTTTGCGGGCTCCTCTATAAACAGTTTCTATAATGTCAATCATCTCTTGCTTATCTTCCATTGCCCAGTTGATCTTGTTGTTATTACCTGTACCTAAATCAATCATGATGTGTTTGTTCCTTTAAAGAGAAAGAAAAAAACCTCAAAGTTAATACGGCATTATATTTCAGAAATAAACTTTATATGCCTCTAAAATGCTTTGTAGGATTCAAAAGAAGCCTTTATAACATAAACAGGCTTTCAAAATAAGGATCCAAGAGAGAGTATCCACTCCTGTCAGTCAAGCTCACATTTTACTGCCAATTTCTAAAGCAACAATAAGGACGGCAATCAGGCCGGCAAAAATGGCTACTCAGTGCAATTATCCTTCAGCATATTCCTCATTGTTTGTATATTTCTTTCCCACTACTGTCTATCTCCAGAGAGACTTCTACTCTTGTCAGTAGGACGTTTTTATCTCATCACTGTAGATGCCTTAGCTCAAAAAAACCTTCATACTTTGGATTTATCTTTAAAGCAAATGTGACAAGCTTGACTGCCGTACTACTACACCATTCTGTACGTGTTCTGAGATTTAAAACTAAAAACAATGGATAATAAAATCAGCTTTCACTAATCACTTATCACTAATTTGTACTCTAATCAACCACTGTTACTAGGCTAATTGAAAAACAAGCCATTTTCCTATTTAATCAGTTGACTCTTTTGTAAAGCAATGAAAATATAAGCATCAGTATGCTAATATACATTTAGAAATTATTTACTGAGATACTGTATTTGACAAACAAAAATTAGTTACATTCTAGAACCATCGTGTACCTGAAGAAAAACATGACAGTACAGGGATCGTACAACTCGTACATCTTGTTGAAGTCTGGTACTTCAGTGATATCCACAAGATAAATAACAGCAAAGTTTTTAACCTAAACAGAAGAAAAAGGAAATACAAAAGCAATATATATTACCAAACCTTTCATTATTGGTAGTACCGATTTAAACACATAAGCTTTCGTTATTGTAACGTTAATTTTCTAAATTATTAAGTCATAAAATGACAATAAACAGCCTTGCTTTTATTTTTAACCACTACAACCAATTAACATGGGAAATATTTTTAAATATAGACAAGATGCTCATTTCACATCCAGTATCAAGTGGAAAGATACTATGCTAAATCAACATCCAGAGAAACAAATGCCCTTTATACAGAGCTGAGACCTCACAGTGATGTGCACAGCTGTAAACACATAGAATAACTGCTTTGTGCAAGCCGACACATTTTGCCTCTGTTATCAGCTGCTTATAGACTTCAGAAAATTAATGATGTACAAAGCCCTAGTGCCTGCCCTCCAAGCATTTTTCCCCCTCTATAACATCAAGACTCGTTAAATATAACAAGACTCAATAAATTTAAATTAAAATAAAACTGATTATTTAATTAAAAACCTGGTAGCTTTTTTTGAGAGGTGCAAAGCTAAAACAGGAGCTTAAAAGTGTAATTGCTAATGAAAAAAAGACCTTGATGAGAAGCTATTCTCTGGGCAATTCTGGCAAAACCAGCTTTCATTTTGCAGAGTTACTCAGTTAAATGCACAAGAATCCCTCCCCTTTAATGCCATAGTTAATGCCTTCATTCCTGCAAGAAAACCACATCACATTTTTGTTTCCTAGGTGTAGCATATTTAACCTTAAGTGGAATTAGGGGAAGTTTTGGTTTCTAAGCTTAGCTCATATATGTACAGCAGAAATTAATACACTCATATACGCATTAAGTTATAAGTCAGCAGTCACCTAAATTACAAAAACCTTTAACTGTAAGGTATATTATCAAATCTCATGCATTATACCCTGACTGCACAACTGTGCCTCCCCATCCTTAATTACATGCTAACACAATTTTGGTCCTTCCCATTTGACTACACAGAATTACCAAGCTGGGGTTAAACACACATGGTCTAAGATCTATGGCAAACTTACTGTTTGTGACAGTTCATTTTCCTATCAAAAGTCTGGAAATGCAGTGATGAGTACAATATCTGCTTGATATAACAGTGTTTTAGTTCACAAAACAGGATTAGATTGTATGAGAAAAATATGATACATTGTGTACCCTGTACTTAGACATCTTAGCAGGCACTTTACCTGAGGAAGTATGGGGATGTTTGTTTGCAAAAAAACACAGAAGCACATAGTAAATAAATTTTTATGGACTTCCACTTCAAGACGGTTTCAAAAGTATAAACAATAATCACACTCCAAAGATGTAAGTAAGTATTGCCAGCAAAGAAAGTAAAATCTCTCCTGAAGTGAAACAGCATTTAAATAGTTTTTACTGTGCTTTTATGGAGCCAGTTGTAGTCCTAGGTTCAGTCAGTAGTCTAATGAAAACATCCATTTAAGCCACATTCTAAATCTAAGGCAAGAGGTAAAGCCTTATAAACTCAAGTTAGTCATAACATCAAACCTTCTGAAGGGATCCTTCAAGCCCGTTTCAATTTTATATTAAAGGCTTCTAAGAAGCTTAGTGGGATGTTCAGAGAAGTGACTGAAGTTACTCCCTGGTTCGCCTTAGCAGGCAAAAGGCAGTTGTGGGGTTTTTGGTACTTTTTAAAAAAATAAAACATCTGAAGAGCTGTTTTCATTTTATCCTATCATTTCTTCTTCCACACTTCTGGATTTTTAGCATCAGCACCACATCTTTGCCACAGGGGAAATTTCTACAACATATTCAGGAATTTTGACAAAGCAAACAATCTTTGAAAAATTATTTAATTTGGCGATTAGAAAATATTTTTTAGTTAAATCCAGCATTAACAAAACATTCTTAAGACCTGTTTTGTTCACTGAAAGATTAGTCCAAGGAGATTTACATGTTGCACCAGACTACCGCTACAAAAGCACTGTTAAACCAAAATTTTACTTCAAAGAACTGTGTACGCCAGATAGTACTGCAACAAAGAACCTTTAAAGTTAGTTTTATATTATACACATTTAATTTAGTTGAGCTGTTGGAGAACCAGAAATGCTTGTCAATAGCAGTGAACATCAACAGCCTAAGATTTCATAAGAGAAACAGACTATCCAAGTCTTAAACAAGTTATTATATAAATCCTACTGAAAAGGACTGGCTCACTCAAATCACCTTTGCACAGGCTATGTCCAAGTTATCACCATAATCCAAATCTCCAAGACATTAACTTAATCTTCCTTCTCTCCTACCTACTTTTATAGAAGTGAAACTGATGACAGTCGCCTGCTGAAAAGCTCGTATGAAGTCTAAAGCAGACCTTAAAGCTGGACTCTGAACTTTAGAAGTGGCTCCATTCTTTACCACTCGCTTTCTTAATTTCAAATCTGACAAGATTACCACTCCAAAATGACTTAACTTGCAAGCCCATTGAATAAGGGCGTGTTTTGTTGAGTTTGGACACTGGCTGCCAAGGTTGCTCATGACATGGGCCTTGCACTCCAGTGCATGTAGTAGCAGGTGGCTGGGATTCAGGCCTAAGAAGGAAGTAGATAAAAACATGGGCAAGAGGCTAAATATGGAGAAGGTGATGCAGAAGCGCTGCAGTGGCCGCATCTACCATTTGGAGGCCATGCCAGACTAGGCAAGCTTGTCACCAAGAGGCATTTATTTCAACACGAGACAAGCCCTGCAGAATTACTCAAATGTCTCTCTCTGCACACTTCTGACAAGTTTTACAGCCTGAAGCAGCGCTTACTGTCTCAGACACAATATTGGAGACAAGACAGGAGCAGTACACAGCAGCATCTGAGCTGGCTTCACACACAGCCAGCTCTAATTCACAAAGCTTTAGCTTAGGCTTCAATTTAAGCAAAAGATATTGAAGTATTTGTGGATTCAGGCTGGTATGGATGCAGGAGTTGATCCATACTTGAGCTACTAAGCATGTGGAGACAAACAAGGTTAACCACTCCCTGTTGGGACTTGAATCCATTGCTCAGACAGAGTTGTCAGTTCAAAAACTACATTCCTATACAGAACATGTTTTGCTGTCCTGTCAAGGCAGTGGCTGCTAACAAGTTTTCTTTCTGACTTATGTTGTGACTGAGGATATGGTATGGAGACCTTAGAACAAGAATTAAATACAACTCTGAGCAAGCAAACCACAATAAATAAAAGCAGTTGCAGTTGTAAGAATGAAGACTACACTGAGGTTGTTAATGTAAACCAAAATTTTACTGTACAGACAATAGGCAAAAAACCTTGTGGTATTTTAGAAGTTGAACATGTAATAACACAATTTTATTCTGAAAGTACTTAACCTCATAACATACACTAAATATAGTAAATTTTTTACAGTTAAGTCTGCTACATTCTGAAACAAACAAAACCAGAACTCTAGTGAGAGACCTCCTTTTGGACACCACCACCACCACCTGAAAATAAAAGCATTTTCAGCAGTAAAAAAGAGACAGGTACTAACTACGTCTGACACTCTGACCTCCTTTATCTGTTTTTCAATTCAAAACTCTTTCTTTCCAGGCCATTGTAGCTGCTGTTCATGGGGACAGGATAGAGTAGGAAATTAAGTCAGAGTGGGAAACTAAGTCAAAGAGCAATACAGATTCAAAATTTTATTACTTCCTTTCAAGAGTTGGGGTTCAGTTTTGCTGGTTGGGGTTTTTTCTCCCCCTAGTTACAGTAGCTTCATAGATCAGTCTACATTACTCATCGTCATGGCTAGGCTTCACGAATAAAGATTTAAGAAGGGCTCTACCCATGCTTGCTGCAAACGCACTGGTGGCTAAAAAGGCCAATGCGAGATAGACAAGTCCGGTTGCAAAAGGCACAGCAGAAAGTCTCCTTAGGCGGTATCGGCAAGACATGGTTCTTTCTGCGTTGTCTTTTCTCCTCAAGAGTGATCCTGCGTGCGTTCTCAAAAGAAGCAGCAGCGTTACGTATAATGTCTCCATGTCTCCCAATTTGAGGCCAGAGTAGACCAGTTATGATGATCAATATGGCCAAGGCTGAGATGTTGTTTCAGGGAGTCCTTGTATCTTCTCTTTGGGGCTCCTCTCTTGCGGCAGCCGGTGGCAAGTTCACCATAGAGCAAGATCTTACGGAGGGGGTGGTCCTTCATCCTGGAGACGTGTCCTGCCCATCGCAGCTGTGTTCTCAGTAACATGGCCTCAATACTCATAACCACGGCCTGTTCAAGAACAGATGCGTTAGTCACGTAATCTGACCAGTGGATGTTTAGGATTGTACGGAGGCAGCGTTGATGGAAGCGTTCTAGGAGACGCGGGTGGTGGCAGTAGATGACCCATGATTCAGACTCATATAAAAGAGCAGACAGCACTATGGCTCTATAAACGCTAATCTTTGTAGTTTTCTTCAGGTGTTTATTACACCAAACTCTTTTATGGAGTTTTCTGAAAGCTCTATAAGCCTTTGCTAACCTGTTGTCTATCTCTTTGTCAATCTTACCGTCCGAGGAGATGATGCTTCCCAGATAATTAAACTGTTGGACTGACTTGAGCTCTGATTTGCCAATGATGATATGGGGATGATGGAAAACTTCCTGAGGTGCAGGTTGGGAGAAAACTTCTGTCTTCTCCAAGCTGACTTGCAGTCCAAAAAGCTCAGCAGCATCTGCAAAGCAGGGTGTTAAACACTGCAGAGCTGCTTCTGTGTGGGCGACGAGGGCGGCATCATCAGCAAAAAGCAGCTCCTGGACAAGATGATTTAAAGTTTTCAGTCGCCTTAGGTTGAATGGGCTTCCATCAGTACAATATCGAATGTAGACAACGTTTTCTTCATCGAGGTCCGCCATGGCCCTTTGGAGCATCATACTGAAGAAGATTGTGAATAGGGTTGGTGCAAGAACGCAACGTTGTTTCACATCATTGGTTATTAGAAAGGGCTCAGAAAGTGCATCGCCATATCTGACTTGGCCGCGCTGATCCTCATGAAGCACAGTGATCATTTTGAGGAACTTGGGGACATTACTCAACACACATATAAAAAACCCAAAAGTACATTATTGCCTAGCCACAGTTACAGGCTATTTTAATACTTCACAGAACTGTATCTGCTTGGGGACTACTATTAAATATTTAAACTGAATGGCTCAAGACTATACAGCAGAGGAATCTATAGGACCTTTAACATCAGGGACAGATTCTGTATCCTATCTTGTTGAAGACCACACACTTTGCTGGTATACAGGAAACACTGATGTAGGAAAAATCATATGCCAGTATTATTTATCCTCTGAAGTTCTCCCTCCTGACTTTCTTCAATAATTATATCATTCTAAAAAAAAATTTATGCATTCCTACAAGATGAGATTGACATGGAAATGATTAATGACTGGGATGAACGGCAAAAATCATGAAGTTGTCTGAAATTTCTGTCAGAGGTAAGTAATACTCTTCTTTTTTTTTTTTTGGTTAAGATTTAAGCTGCCCTTGCGAAGCAAACCTTACATCCCAAACCGCATACAGCAAATATCTCAGAAAAACTGAAACAAGATTCCATCTTTTCATTTTCCTAACCAGTTTCCAGACAATGTTTTTTTCTGTTTACATATTTTATGGACAAGGAACTTACAGGAAAAAAATACAGGAACTGAGACTAGCTTTTGCAACATATCATTCAAGTTGAAGGCAACTAGCAGACTAGCATTACTGAACTCAACAGAGTAAGTACAAACTTAAAAGTCTGTATTGAATCTTTTTTTCTTGCTAATTATGCTGTAAGTTTAGGTGATAAATTGCTACGGGAAAAGAGAAAGACATTATACCGCCAAGAGCAACACTTACAGCTAATAATTTTGAAAACTACAGACATCAGTAAATGGATTAGCCTTGCTCAACTTTAATTACAAAATCACCAGTAACTACAATACCAATACGCTTTTTTTATAGCTCCCTCTTTCCCTGCCCCACTTTGTTTTCCTCTCTCACTTTCCACGTAACCTTAGCAGAAATGCAGAGGCACAATTAATGTCTGAGGAAAAGCCACAGCTTCTCACACTTCTGATTATGGTTAAATAAATGCTCAACATTTGAACAATCCTCCCTAAACCCACACTGACCCAATAAAACAGTTATCTGATTTACAGTATTCAGTCATAGATAAATCATGGTTTATCACTTAAACAAGGGGTATTAATTTAGCGAACAAAGCCCTCTATTTCAGGGGATGGGTTTTTATAATTGTGAGTTTCCTTTAAAGAAATAAAAAGTATATTTTGAAAAAAGGTGTTCAAGAGGAAACTTGTGAAACTCAATTCATACATGTTTGGTTGAAACCCTGACAAGGCAAAAAATCTAACATCTTACAATTACTGTTTGTTTTGACATTCAGTGAAACCTTGCTTCTTTTTCACGTAACACTGGGGGGAAAAACAGTCAACGGCAAGTGGAGTACATTTCAGTGTATTTTCATACAGCATTCTAGTTTCCTCCTCCCCAAAAGGATTCCCGTTTTCCTATCATAAAGTACAGATAAATATTACTGCTACCCAAAAATATGCTGCACTCTAAAAGAATAATGCACCATGGTAACAAATGTAAAATATGACTACATTGTCTTTGAATGTCTACTGCAATTACAGCACGTTAACATTCTGAATTATTCTCCAGTATAAACACCTGTACAATTGGAACTTTTACTCACTCTTTAAAACAGCAGAGATCCAAACATGGCTTGTAAGCAAGAGGATGAGGAAGGATCTCCCCCTTTAATTTGCCATTTCTGCAGAGGGAGATTTTTAAATAAGAAGTTACATTGTTCTTTCTTCCCCCAGTCACCCCTAACTGCCAGCATGTCTGCCAAATTGCCAAGCATCCTGCCACAAGTCCATACTAACAGTATCTGAGCATAAAACACTCCCACCACACTGAACACAAAACAACTAAACCAAAACATGTCACAACTCCTTAGTGTATTCTATTATGTCTTAACACATGGCTGGAGGTATAGATCTTTCATTGTGGGGATTTTCAAGACACAAGCTAATTTATTTAAAAATAACATCAGAAGACAGTGGAGTACACCACAAAAAGAATACCCTATCGAGCTATGCAGCATGCCTAGAATTTTATATGAAGGCAGCAAAGTTGTGGATGCCCCATGCCGAGAAGTGTTCAAGGCCAGGTTGGATGGAGGCCTGAGCAACCTGGTCTAGTGGAAGGTGTCCCTGCCCAGGGCAGGGAGGTTGGAACAAGATCTTTAAGGTCTCTTCCAACCCAAACCATTCCATGATTTCTATGATAGCTGACATCTTTTCCTACCCAAGTTACCATTTATGGCTCAGATTTTTTTGCTCCTTTTTTTCATGTGGTTCAGTTATAGAGTTATCAATTTTCTACATCTATCGCTATGCAAAACCTTTAGCAAATATATGAAAAGGTAACTTCTAGCTGATTGTGTATTTTAACAGTCTAATTTTTCTTCAGTATCTTTCTTAAGTGAGCAACCAGCTGTCAGCAAGCATTCAGTTTCCATCTGAAAACAGCTTTAGAGTTTGGCTTCTAAAATTTAATTCACTCCATGCAACTCAAGAGGAATGCTATCTGTCTCCACAAATATCACTGACAGATTAATCAGAATAATAACACTGACAAATTAATCAATACTATCCTGTACAGTTTAGCACCTCACCATTTTTAAGAGTCAAAATAAAAGTAACTTTCCAAGTTATTCAAATGGAAACCTGAAGCTGCTATATATTTTCATTGCAAGTGAGAGCGCTGCCTTACCTAGAGCCACAGCCCTACCATCGAGCACCTGTTCTTGCTTGAATGCTGTCGTTCATTCAATGATGGGTTATTAAAAGGCAGCGATCTTGATTTCAGAAATCTTGTCACCCCATTAAATACTGCAAACATCAGGTCAGTCAGTGACTCTAGGAGACACTCACGAAAGCAAAACAAACAGCTTTCCCACTGCCTCCTAAAGCCAGAATACCTTTCCAGAACCCGAGTTATATACAATCTGCCCTGGGCTTCGAGCAAGCCACGGGGAACACTGAACGCAGAAGGCGCAGAAAGCTCCAGTTTACCTTCTCGGCGATGCTGTATAGGACCTCGTCCATCTTCATGCACGTCGGGTCCCAGTCGTGCCCGAAGCGGATGACCACGACCCGGTCCTCCTCCGACAGGATGGCCTGGTCCACCTGCCACCCGTTGTGCAAGTGCGGCAGCATGTACGACATCCTGGCGGGCGGATGGCGAGCCTGCGGGACGACAGGAATGCCCCGGCTGCTGACAGCCCGTCCTGGTTCCCGCGGCACCCACAGCCCCCGGACCGACCACCCCCACACCCCCCATGGCGCCACCTCGCCGGGCCCCGCGGCAGCAAGGAGTCCCCCCGCCCCGCCCCATCCTTCTCTCCATCCATCCCGCCGCGCCCCGGCCCCAGCGCACCCCGCGGGCGACCTTTCCTCGGAGATACGGGTGGCGGGAAGCGCCGGGACGGGTCGGGACGGGACGGGAAGCGGAAATGAAGGATGGGCACGGCGCAGGCACATACGCGCTTCCGCCCCGCCGGAGGGCGGGACTTCCCCCTTCCCGAACTGGCAGGGGCCCCGTCTGCCCGAGGAGCCCGGTATCCAACCGGGTGGGCACGTGGTGCTGCCTGTCTGCTGGCCAGGGCCTCGGGGATCGCCCCTCGCAGGTGCGATTTGGAGCCGTGCCATGGGGATCGGTGCGGCCGGCCCGAGCAGTGCTGCTGGGTGGCACAGGGAGGATGGAATGGGGATCATCAGAGCCCAAACCTCCGTGTCTCTGCTGTTGGCCACTCTACGATGTTAATAAACTCCCTGTGTCTCCATGGGATTCGATCAAGGAGATATGCCCAGAGAAGCTGTGGATGCCTCAGCCCTGGAACTGTTCAAGGTCAAGTTAGACGGAGCTCTGAGCAATCTGGTCTAGTGGCAGGTGTCCAAAGCAGGGGCATTGGGACTAGATAATCTTTAAGGTCCCTTCCTTCCAACCGAAACCATTCTATGATTCTGTTATACTGCAACAGAGAGAGCAGCTGCATGCATCTCCTGGTTATGGAAGACTTCTCTCAGTGTGTTAACCCACAGGAATGAAAATTTTCATGCACTCATCTCTGATGCACACACACTACACACAGAACCGCCCCCAGCAGTGGCAGCTACACTGCCCAGCCCCTGGCAGATTCACCCTTGCATGCCTTTATTGCTCTCTCATTTGTCTTGCAATCAAAATGCCAATACATGAGCACACTGGATAAGTGTTCCAGTGGAAGTGATCAGCTGTGAAACCAGCACGTTTCAGCATTAGCTTTCAGAATCGAGCTGGCCATTGGGATAGGGCATCCCAGGCCACTCAGTTTGCTTCCTGAGAGGCGTTAGATCTTATTCTACACTGCACACTTCTTTAAAAGCTTAGCTCGCAGCAGACAGGGTGAAAACCACAGTTTCCACTATAAAAAAAACAGTACGAGCTTGAGCTTGGGCTGTGGGGAACAATGTGAATTTGTACCAAATAACTTTGTCCCATAATTGCAGAGCTCTCAAAAAACTATCAAAGTCCTCCTTTGGCTTTATCTCATTTCCAGGAAGTCCAGCGCCGGGGGCGGGAGAGGAGACGAAAGGCAGCTTGGTCTGATTGCAGACAAGGAGAGGCAGCGGCGGGCGGTGCTCCGCGTGCCGGAACTTCCTTGGAAGCCGCCAGCTCCCGGATCGGCGCTGGTCGGGCCGGGCAGGGCAGGGTTAAGCGAGCGAGGCTGGGCAGGAGCGGGTGTGCCCGGCCGGGAGCAGGAGCTGTGAGCTCTCCGCTCTTCCAGCTACCGCAGGATCGAGCTGTGAAAGGCACGTCGTAAGAAAGAAACCATCCCTGGTTAGTGCTTTGGTTGTTGTTCAGGTAATTAGTCACCTTCTTTAGAGAAGTTAGCGGGAGGAATTTATCCTGGATAACTCATGCTGTTAACTTTAATTGAAAACAGAGCTAGGAAAAATCATGTAGGTTTTTTTTTGCTGTGATTTGGCAAAGTCCAAAGTCATACAGCAGTGCCAGCCAAGAAATCTGCAAGTTAGGAGTGACTCAAGCTCCACAGATGAAGTAAGGCCTGCTTCAGTTAGCACTAAAATGAATACTTTAATGCAGTACTTTTTGTTTGCCCAGTTGTCTCAAATTAAGTAATATTTTCAAAATTTTCTCTGCAATGCCAGGACCAGAACTTAGTTCATTTACATTATATCACAGTGTTACATATGATTAGGATTGCTTACATACATAGAAGCATATAATCTTACGTAAATACAAAATACGAGGAGAGACAGTTTAAAAAAAAAAAAAGGGTGTTAGTGGTACTGCAAATGATACTAGTGCAAAACCAAAATTGTCATATCCTTGACAGGTGTTATATTTAGCACACTGGACAAGACATCTGATAACTGAATAATTATGTTTGTGAGCAAGGCATTCAATCTGTTGAAACCAATTCCATTGATGTCTGGCCAGTCAAATTTGGCTTACAAATTTATTCATCAACTTGTTGCTTCTCATGGACGTCGCTGTCACAGAAGTGTGATTTACAAACAGAGGTACAGGACGTGCCCATGTAGTGCTGGAAGACAAACAATAAGTGCTCAGACTAAGGTTGGTATCTGGAGAGCCCCCTTTCTTTTGCAAGATTCCTTTAAGTGTTTTTAGTTTACTGCTATCAGTATAATTTTTTAAGATTGTACCCAGTATTAGCAGAACATCAGTTCTTGAACCAGTGCTGCAGCCTATTAATCGTTCACATGCACATCAAACACAGCTGAAATGGTGGCGAACTGAGCATGCCCACAGGAATGAAAAGATTCATTACATGCAGCCAACCTGTTTCTAGTTCAGCACTGTTTCTAGTGCACCAGCTGTTTGTTTAAAGCTAGTGGCTTCCTCCCTCGTGGATCACCTTTCTGCTTGTGCAGTGTAGGAAGTGCTTCTAAAATGAATGCAGTTCTGACTCTACCCTTCATGGAGGAGGAAGTGGTGATGAAAGCAAATGGTGTAAAACATCACTGTCTTACTGGCATCTGCCAGTCAGTTGATGATATCTGGTGCCCAGTTTTCCACCACTGTTAACAGCATACAGGTTAATTGCCATCTGGTCTGAGTAAATTACTGCAGGAGCATCAGGTTTTGATCAAAAAGCCGGACAATGCTGTCACAATATGACATCATATTGTGATTTTATTGTATTGTATTTTATTCTATGTGTCATTCATTCTGGAGGATGAATCTAGTTTATCCTTCTAAGGTCATGTTGTGTGATACTCTCAGAAATATAGACTACATCTGGGAAAATTTGAATTTTCACAACCACATGGGGCTAACAACCTAAGTTTGCAAAAAATAGATGATATATATTTCAGAACATGGTTTTCCTTTGCAATTTGGTTGCACTATTCATCTCATTGCCTTGTTTGCTGCTGTTCAGAACCAGGTAGTATTATCAGAGACATTGTTTATGATGAATTGCAGACCTGTCCTAACACGGAGACGCCTTCAAGCCCACGTACAGCAGCAGACTGGAACTGAGGAAGAAATGCAAGTCAAGGCCAGGATAAAACAGCATTATTGGTGTTGAGATTGTAAGCATTTAATAGTTGTGGTTGAGATAAGTCTGAGTTTCCTCAGGACAAGGGTAAATATGGTTGACAAAAACTTCCAATCTATGCTGACACTTTTTTGTCACAGGTTTGAATTCTGGTTACTTGCAGAAGGTTTTTGTGAGAGGACTGAAGCAGCAGGACATCTCTGCTCAGTACTGTGTGCCCAGAATAAATCAGCATACTGCTGGGGAAAATTGTTCTGATTCAGTTAGCACAACATCAGGTTTTCTGCACCCAAGCATAGGACATAGTATGAGATGGAGACTGAACATCAGTGGAGCACAGCAAGCAGAATTGTAGGAAATTAGGCACAACTATTGTTAAGGTATGCAGCAAATCTTCAACTACCATTTTTATCAGTAAGGGCTGCCTCTAATTAGATGTTTGGTTATCTGTGGAGCTGGTATCATCTTATTGCAGAATACAGTACATTTGCAGGAGTGTGGTAGAGAGAACTGGGCTCAGAAATGTCTGGGCGGGAGAAAGTTCTAGTATGAAGGACTGTGTTGTTGGCGGGAATTACATTATCACCTCTAGTGCTCTTCCCCACTGGTTCAGCATATAGGCATGGGTGTGCTAAATTTTACACAAGTTCAGGTACAGATCTGGATGTTTAAAACACTGAAGGCAAGCAGTCTAGCAGCTAAGGATGGCCCTTCATCATGCAGATTTGTTAGAGCTAAACCATTCCTGACAGATGTTTGTCAGACCCATCTGGGGCTCAGTGCCACCCTACAATACCTGCAGCTTCACCAACCATTAACCAATAGGCAAGAAACTGTGAACAGCCTCTGTTTCATACCACTGTTTATAGAAGTGCATTGGTAAGTAAGGTTGAAAAGCTGCCAGATTTGTATGAAATCAGTATTGATTCAGGACTGAAATGAAACTATTTGCAAATAACATTTTGTAGGACTGGATTTTGATCTAAGAGTGCGGGTATTCCTTGGTGCTGTAGTCTAAATCAGCATTCGGGAAAAGTACTGGGAAATTGTCTGATGCACCACATTAGTACCAAGTGACTGTGGATTAAAAACAGTATTGAGTTCCATCAGTTCCTGTTTTACAGATGTGAATTTAAATGATCACTATCTCATTGCTCCTTTAAGGGTGTTTTCCTGAACAAAGGAGTATCTCTTCTATTCCACTGTTGCAGGTCATGGCAAAAGAAGAGTTGCCAGGCGTTTTGATTCTGGATATAGGAGGAACTCAAGGTGTGCTAGAAAACCTTGCAGCGCTTTTGAAGAAACACTTTCACCTTATCACCATGAAGGAATTTCTTGAAAACAAAGAAGAAATGAGCAAAAAAATCCAATCTGTTTTCGTGTTTGAGTGCAGGCCAACTATTGACCGGGAGCTCCTAGAAAGCTTGCCTAATTTAAAGGTAATTGGAAATTCTGGAGTTGGAGTTGATCACTTAGACTTGAAAATGATCTCTAGCTTTGGAGTAAAAGTGACCAACACCCCCCACGCCGTGGCAGACCCCACAGCAGACATAGGAATGGCCTTGATGCTGGCCTCCGCCAGAAGACTAGTAGAAGGTAATGTTTTCAATTTTCCTGGATCTAGCTACTTCTTTGGCATATCTCACTTTTGCTATGATTCAGATGATCTGTCGAAATCAATATTTGGGATGCTTTTACAGGGATAAATTTTTGGAGACCTCAGTTTTCAGAGGCATCTGCTCTTCGTGTGTCCATCTTCTTTTTAAGGCAACTGTGACTAGAGAAAGGCCTTTGTCTAAATTATGCACTTTGAAGTCACTTGTGATATCCTGTTTGGAATAATGCCTGGGGATTAATTCTCCTCTGGCTGTTCACTGGGTGGGTTGTTTATAGCTGTAAAAAATGAATACAGAGTGCATCCAAATGGAGTGTCACCACTTTCCATTTCCCCTTGAAAGAAGTGTCAGGAGCTATAGTAAGGTACAAAACATAATGGCCATATCCCCATCTCTAGACTGGTAATTAGTATAACTCCTTTTTTTTCCTGCTTCTGTGATGAGTTTATCTAAACCAGTGGGTTGTATTTGCTGAAGAGCATCAGCATTATGATTAAAATAGCTGATAATCCTTTTGATAAAGTTATTTCACACTGTACCAGCACCATTAGTCTCCTTTCCCCACAAGGGTTTTTTCTCCACATGTCCTTGCTACACAATGCCTTTTTGAGGAAGGAAGGTGTCAGTAGAGACTATCACAAGAAGCTGCCTCTGTCTTCAGGGACTCAGTCTTATTGTCACTGCTGCTCCAACCCTGAGCATGAAATAGCATCTTTCCTGGTGATGTTTTCTCACTATTGTATCTTGTTGAACTTCAAGTTCTGTGTACAAGAGCTCACAGAGATCCTTGGCTGAGCTGGAATTTGCAACCTTCACCCTCACTCAAGCAGTGAGTCTGCTTTGGGTTGTGATCCAGGAGAGAAATGCTGAGATTTACCCCAAATACAAAAAAATTGAAATCAATGCTTGCAGGGTGGTAAGTGTTAAAGAAGCTATTTTTGGATTTCCAAGAAAATGCACCAGCCATGGAAGAGGTACTTCCCTGAGGAGCCATTCCTCCTAGCACAATACCCAGTCAGGACCCCTGCTGTGTTACTGACTCCAGCCCTGGCTGCAGGGATTGGCACCATCCAGGTCCTTCTATGAACTGGTCAAAATTAGCAAGGCTATTTTGTAGGGCCGCTCCAGAGCCTCGCTGCTGTGATGGTGATAAACTTTTTCTGTCCCCCAGACCTGCTTTTATTGCTGATTTGTAACCATTCAGCATGTACTTACATTCAGGCTGCCAGATTGCGGTTTCTCCAGACACGAAGCATTTTGCTGTTGACTGGCTGGGAGTGGAAGTAACCAGAGCGACGCTTGGGATCATCGGGATGGGCAGCATTGGGTACAAAGTGGCTCAGAGAGCCAGAGCCTTCAACATGAGGATCCTCTACCATAACAGAAACCGGAGGTAAAAACATCTGGTTTCTGCGTGTAATTCAGGGGGCAATGACGGAAGCCACAGCTCTACTTGTGTCCCTGGTCTTCCTATGCACTTGTGACAGCTGTAAGCAGCATGAGAAGCACCAGCATGCTGCCACTTCCTCACTTTGGTTCCTGCCATGCCTCCTGCACTCACTCTGCCCTGGTTAATACATTAGCAGTTTGGAACAAGGGCCGTGTACCCTCTCTGAAGATGTTGTCCAGTCAAACCAGGCCTTGTGCCCTTGTGGTGTCCCTTGTCCTTTCAGACTCCTCTTCAGGCTTCTGGCAGCATCCCTGTTCCACCCAGCCAGCCAGTCTCCTCAGCCTAGCCTGATCACTCATCACATCAACACCAATGACAAAGGTCTTAATTTCTCACAGATTTGTAGTTTCCTTTCTTTCACACTTCACTTCCTCTTCATTTCTTTTCAACCACAAGTCCTAACTCACATGTCAGGCAAGGAAACACTCCACAGGGATTGGCATGGACACAGAAGAGAAGAGTGGGATCTGACTACATCCCCAACCTCCTATACCTAATATCACCCATGTGCTTTGCATACATCACTCCTTCAGTGTCCCACCACTTGTCTAGCCTCTTGCTTCCTCTAGCCCACATCCTTCCTGCCTCCCTTCCACTATCTGCACCTATCAGTGTCTTTTCCTTTAAACTTGTCCTTAAACCTCTCAGTCTCTGTGCTGTTCTGGATCTCTCCTGGGGTAATTGATTGTTGAAGCCAGTTAGAAATAGTTGTGTCAGTTTGGGGGTTTGTGCATTTTTTCTTCAGAAGAAAGGAAGAGGAAGAGGCTGTTGGTGCCCACTACTGTGAGAAGATGGAAGACTTGCTGCAACAATCTGACTTTGTTATGTTGATTGTGAACCTGACTCCTGAGACTCACAGACTGATTGGGAAAAAGGAGCTGAGTCTGATGAAACCCACAGCTACTCTTATAAACATCAGCCGAGGTAGGATGACCTGAAGTAACTGTTTGTGGCTCCACACTTAAAGTTGTGTTTTGTTTGATTATGTTGACATTCCCCTCTCCAAGCTCAGTCTGTGATACCCGTCTGTTTGAGTCATGAAGTAGCTGGCAGTCTACAAATGAGTGACTTATCGTGGACCATATGCTATGTGTTCAAAGGTCCTGTGGAAATTAGGGATGCTCAGCAGATGTTCAGTTCTCTTTAGCCTTATCCTAAAGACAGGGTTTTTAGTGGAAGTAACTGAAAGGTTTATCTTAAGCGAGGATGAACGGGGTACAAGGGAAAACATTATGTAACATTTGGAATAGCTTGTAGAAAGGAAGCCTCAAAAGGGATGACAGATCTGTTGGCACTGAACAAGCATATGAAAAAGATTATAGTTTCAGTAAACAAAGCAGAGATAAAAGAGTGGAAAGCATGAAGAGATTACGTGATTTGTCTGTAATAATACAGGAAGTGCCAAAATGAGGAAAAGACTGAAACTAGTCTCATCCCAAGAAACACCTCATGCAGTGGACCATAACCATTCTGTAATTAAAGATTCATAAATCAAATCTCTGGTTTGTTTGGTTAATGGTTGTTAGAAAGGCATTCTGCTTTTGAACATGATGCAGATCCTCTAATTTTTCTCACTAGACCCTTGAGACGTTTCCTTACTCCCCATAAAAATATGTTCATTAACTCATTGTGATACCAAGATTTCATTTCAATACAGGTGCAGTTATTGATCAAGATGCGTTGGTAGAAGCTCTCCAGAGTAAGGTTATTAGGGCTGCAGCTCTGGATGTGACATACCCTGAGCCTCTGCCAAGGTAAAGAAACCTGTTTCCCATTCTTTTAATCTGAAATGTTTCAAACTGTGTGCAAAGTGCTGTCATAATCTTGATCTCCACAGGGAGCCTCTCTCACTGCATAAAGGAAAAACCTCAGCCTGTCTCACACAATCATAAATAAATGACAAAGTATTCACCTTTCCCACATCTGTCAGTTCTTTGCCAGCCTAACTGACAGGCAAGGCAACAAGACCAACAGAGAAAAAAGAAATGGGTAACCAAGCTTCTCACAGCTTTCTGCTAGTTCTGTGCTTGTGGCCCTTTTATCTCAACAAGCCGCTGCTGTTTCCCGAGGTTCCCTTTCTCACAGCTAGCATAGGATAGCAGCAAAGTAAGTTCTCTGTGTAACACATTCTGTTCTTTCTGTTTCTTACAGAGATCACCCTCTATTAAAATTAAATAACGTCATCATAACCCCTCACATTGGAACTGCAACAGTCCAAGCTATCCATATGATGGCAGAAGAAGCAATAGCAAATATACTGGCTGTTCTCAATGGCCAACCCATTCCAAGTGAAGTGTTTCCCAAATGATGTGTGCCAGATGATACCACTAAATCTCCTGTGTATAGGAAGGCACTATTTCTTACAGTACCGCTTTTAAACTAAAAAAAAAAAAAGCAACCTGTTCCTGCACTGCTTGTCTTGATACTGCAAAACTGTCATCTCACTAGACTTGATCTGTACTGTTATTTCCAAGTCTGAAAAATAAAATAGAACCAATAAAAAATATTTGTTTGAAGATTTTAACTGAGCAGATGCACTTTGATATCCTCAGTCTGTTAGTGAATACTCTGTGACGTACTGGATTCAAATCTCACTAGAATATGTAACATTTTTATGTGGGTCAGAGGCAACTCGCTGTGAGGGAGTGGGGTGGGGAAGGGCTGGGCCTTGGGGGACAAGGTCAGAGCCGCCCTCAGAAAGCACTTGGCAGCACCAGACGCCTGCGTGGGGCTGCTCTCCACCGAAAAGGACACACGGGTAGCCCATACCACGCCCCCTGGAGCCTGTGATTGCCTCCAGCACACCTCACTCTGGCCAGGGGGGTACTGAGTGGTCAATGACCTGCATGTCCCGCCTACAAGGCTTGACCATGCTGGCCGAACCTTATAAATGTGGGACCACGGGGCTCACTCTGTGGGGGTGTTTCTCTTCCGGCTGGCCTTGTGTGAGCCATCGGATCCTCGGCTGTAACTATTTTTCTCTTATTCTCTTTCTTCTCTTCTCTTTCTCTATTCTTATTAATCTCTGTTCTTCCTTTACTCTTTCCTTTACTCTTCTTTAACTTTTTCCTTTACTGTAATTTTCTTTGAGTAACATTTTTCTAAACTACTTAGACAAGGTAATTTTTGATTTCGGGGTAGCAAAGGAGATTTATTGCACCAGACTGTTGATGGTCTGAAGCTAAGTAATTGATGAGAAGTAATTGTTGTGTTTTGAGCATGGTAGCAGTAATATGAAATCTTGGAGACCACAGAGGGCAGAACTTGTTCAGGCCTGATTGTGTGAATATCCGTGTGTGTGTATACACATGTGTGTATGTGTATAACAGGTAGTATATTGAAAAGAGCTGCTTTCTTGTCTTGCTTTGCTTACTTTCCTATCTAAATACATGGTTTATAGGATCTCTTGCTATAGATGTCATGAAACAGGACATGACAGTGATTATTCTTTGAAATGTCTGGAAATAATTACATGTCTGTCTTCTGATGATTTGTGTCTTTCTTTTTTGTGCAGATCATGGAAGGAGGAGAACTACCTGGGCTTTTGGTAAATGAAATCGGTGGCATATGTGGGATACTGCACAGCCATGTGGCATTCCTGAGGAAACATTTCTACCTCATCACCATGAAGGAATTGCTTGAAAACAGGAAGCATTTAAGCAGAAAGGTCCAAGCAATCTATCTGTGGTGGCACAAACCAGTCATTGACCGAGAGCTCCTCCAGAGCCTGCCAAACTTGAAAGTGATTGCGAATTCAGGAGTGGGGATGGATCACCTGGATCTGAAACTTGTAGCTAGCTTTGGTGTGAAGATGGCTAATGCTCCACGTGCTGTTTGCAGCAGCACAGCAGATGCTGGGATGGCTTTGCTGCTAGCATCTGCTAGAAGACTAGTGGAAGGTAACATCTCAATTCTTTTGTGACTTCTAAAAGTCATACAAGATTTACCTACCATTAACTTGAATTTTCTTATAGAGTTATGTGTAGTGCACATGGTTTCACATAAAATGTGAATTAAGTGTGATAAATGTACTTAAATTGTTACATTATACATAGACATACATAACCTATATTTCAACCACATATAAATAAAATCATATGAATTTAGTTTTCACAGGGTTGTAAATACTTGACCAGAATCTAATCCTGCTTTATGGACCAAGTGTTCCTAGAAACTGGAATTTAGTTTTTAAAATAAGTATGGCTGTAGAATTAATGTAACAGTTTCAGGTGAACAACACACTGATGTGTGCTTTCTACATACAAAAACTTTAAATTCCATTACCTTCTGCAGCAGTGCATTTTCAGTGACTATGACATTTGACTGACATAAGATGTGCTTTTCAATGTGACAGTGTTACAATGCTATAACCAAAAGAGGGAGATGGCAAAGATCAGACAATCGCTGGAGCCACAGGCTGGCAGAATAAATTAGTGTTTGAGATAACAGTAAAGCAGAACAAGGGTATATGGAACATAGAATAATAATAAGTTGGAAGGGATCCACAATGCTGATAGAGGCATGGGCATATTCTTGGGGACTGAAATGGATTGGTGCAGAATTGGGGCATTTAAGGGGCAATAGAGAGTAATAAAGCAGCTGCTCCCTTTTCTGCTTATAACATCCTTTCTAGTTTCTTCAACAATTTTTTCTTGCTATTTCCCCAAGTAGACCTACTCTTGCCTTTGTTAGAATGCCTCCTGCTTCAGGAAAAAATCCCCCAGGTTTATCCTATTAAATTTACCTGACTTTGACTTGCCAAATCCTGCACCACAGCATTCGTAGAAACTCAAAGGAGGGTTGTCTCACTCTAAATCTGTTTCTACGTAGCAAGGAGGAGACAGATTAAAGGGGAGATTAATTCCTTGTTCCCATCTACTTAAACTATCCCTGGTGGCATTTCTGACAGCTCTGCCCTCACATGACTGAGTTTTTTTCCCCTGAGTCTTTTTTTTTAATACTTTAACAACATTCTGCTTATGTTCTAGATAAACTGGCAATATCAGAAGACTGAAGTATCAGAAGCTTGTGATCTTCCTAGCAGATTAATAAGTTCTGACTTTGTGTATATAACTGTATTTTATGTGTTGTAGAACTATCCAAAATTGTACAGGCTTAACAGGTAATTATGGAAATTACCGCAGTGATTTTTAAAGCAGTTGCACTTTTCTTTCAAAGCAGAGTGACAGATATGAACAGGAAACCTCTTCTTATTCTAAATAAGCAAACCAAATATCTGGTGGTGTTCTCCACGTGACATTTCCAAACTCTGCATTGTTATTGGCAATAATTATTTTGATTGTTGATGAAGAACAGGGCAATATTTTCATGAGTCTAAAACAGTAAAAGGATTTTTGGGAGAAATTACATCAAAAGGCTTTTTGTAGTATAGTAAGAATAAATGAGATATATATACAGGTAAGAGGGAAAGATGATATATTAGGGAGTTACCTAGGACATTACAAAATCATGTGTTTGTAATCATTAGAAGTGTGCTGTAGTAGCACAACAAGTTCAGATTCTTTTGCCTTGTTCCTCTGTGTTGGACTCCATTCACTTCTCATATATGAGTATTTTTCTTGCAGTCCATCACATTGCAATTTCTTCAAGTATGGATTACTGTGAAGCTGATATTCTGGGAGTTAAAGTTTCTGGAGCTACTCTGGGGATCATTGGCATGGGCCGCATTGGATATAAGATTGCTCTGAGAGCCAAAGCATTTGAAATGAAGATTTTGTACCACAACAGGACACAGAGGTAAATATATGTCCTGACCTTAAGTGCAGCAGAAACTCTCTTCTAGGTAGCCAGTATTTTCTTTTCAAGGAATTATGTCAGAAGTGTAGCAAAAACTGAGGGAATAGGGCCAAGATTGAAACAAAAGGAAAAAAAAAGAGAATGGTTGCCTTAAATCAGTCCTGTAAAGAGTTACTTGGTGATTAAACACTTGGAAACTTAATTGAGGTTTTATATTAGAAATGTCAAGGTTTCCTGCAGATATGAGCAGAAAAATGGAAATCAAGCTTGTACTTTTTTTTTTTTATTCTTATCATATCATACTATGGTGACACATAACTCTACCTTTTGTTTATTTTTACTGCATATTTTGAGGGATCTTGTTGAAACTCAGTGTCTGGAAAACTAAGAAACATATGCTTGGCACAATTTGATTAACTTGAGAGCTATTCTTGAGAAAACCCTCTTTCTCCTCAAGCCATTTTAGCAAGTATTTAACCTTATTTCACCTTTTATTTTTAGCCCCTCCTAACTTGTGAGTCTGGGAATCTGATCCTTGTTAGACATTGAGCACAAGGACTCTTCACTGTAAAAGCAAGCAAGATCCCCATATATAACTTGAGGCCCTTCCAATCAGGCAAGGTGCAGACAACAAGCAGAACAAACCATGACCTACCCTGAGAGAACTTTACTCCCTCTGACTGAAGGGAGAAGCTGCAATGCTAGGACATGTGGCTTTCAGTGATTCTCTCCATATGCAGACTGCAGAAGGAGGGTCACTGCTCTAGCTAGCCCTAGTCAAATCAGAAGGGTGAATGAGGCCAGAAATTTTTAGCCTTGCTTGGCATTTCTGTTACTCAGAAGAACAGCTGAGCAAACTCACATTAAAAAAAGTACTAGTGAACACCCGCCTTAAGATCTTTCAGAATTTCTTCATAAACCACTCAAAACAAATACAACAAAAGGCACAACTCTTTTTTTTTCCCCTGTGGATCATCACTAACTTCCTCTGTTTAATATTTTTCAGTCTTTAAAGTAATATTTATGTAAGAGTGCTGTGATGAATGATCAATGCGCAGTGCAACAGAAATTAAAAACCTTTTTATTTTAAAGTACCTTTACACTTCAAGCTTATGTGTTGAACCAAGATGCATTCTGCATGCTGCAAAATTGGCTGTAGTTCCAGTCTGTTCTGTTCCTACGTATTCTCTGGTTATTGACCTGTACACTGAAAGAAACTAATGAAGTGCATGTGTTAGGAGACACATGATCCAAAGTTCTGAAGTTATTTTCTTAGAGTGACCTCTTTATTTCTAGATTAGGGAGGAAATAAAGCCCTTCTCTTGCAATCAGGACCAGAAAATTGTACACAAGATCTCCTGTCATTGCTTCTTTAGGTCCCAAAGTTCAGGAAGCTAAATTTACAAAGAATGGGAGAAATAGCAAGTATTCCTTTTTATTGTGAAAAATTAAAACTAAAAATCTCTCTCTACTTTGACAACTTTTCTGCTGAACACTTAACTCTGTAGAAATCCTGGGGCAGCCAGAAGCCTGGCTAAGAGCTGCCTCGCTGATTTCACTTATGAAAAATGACAGGCTTACTGAGGGTGCCAACAGGATGAGGATCACCAGCATCCTCAGAGCTTACATGGATGAGTTCTGGTAAATAACACTGCTCTGGTTTGAGCACCTTCCCCACTGGGAATCCTGGAGAATGGACCATGTGCTGCCATCTGCTCCAATGCTTAGCCTTAGTCCATTTGCAGACTTTATAAGAAGCCCCTGGACTCTGCACTGCAGTGGCTGAGAGGCAGGCATGCAATCCATCCCCTGCTGTAGGGCTTGAAGCCTTCCAGAAGGGTCTAAACATCCAGCTGAGCCTAAATTTGCCACCTATTTGCTACATGGATGTGATAATCAGATCCTTTAGTTTGTATAGTGGTGACATCAATGAAGAGAATATTTTCATGACTGATGCCCTGAAATACTTTTCCTCCCACTAGGAAAGCGCAAGAGGAACAAGCTGTTGGTGCCACTTACTGCGAAAAGATAGACAGCTTACTCCAGCAGGCAGATTTTGTGATGGTGGCAGTGAGCCTGACACCTCAGACACGCAACTTGATTGGGAAAAGAGAGCTGGAGCTAATGAAACCCACAGCTACTCTGGTTAACATCAGCCGAGGTACCGTCCAGAACAGTTGGCTGGCCAGAAAGCATGGGCCAGCTCCTGTTGTGTTACACACAGCGCTGTGCTGCAGCCACTGCGCAGGTGGTGCACGTAGCGAGGACAGAGTGGGCATGGCAAAAATTCCTCTCTCTCCTCTTTCATTCTCCTTTCACTCTGAGCTCATTACCTGCAACACAAGTTGCACTCATAGACACTCTTATTCCAAACCAGGTGCAGTAGTTGACCAAGAGGCGCTGGTGATGGCTCTGCAGACTGGTGTTATCTGGGCCGCGGCTTTGGATGTAACCTACCCAGAACCACTGCCCAGGTTGTCATCTCTGCTTATTTCTTGGAAAGGATGGGTGAGCCCTGCCGAGGCTGAAGATATCCCTGCAGCAGGCAGGGATGTGGTTGAGGCAGCCCCCGCCGCTCCCTGGGATGGGGGTTTGGATAAAAGTGCCATGAATATGAATGGAATGCAGACCAGATATTGGGGCTGATAACAGGCCAAGGGGAAGCCTGGGTGCCAGAAAACAGCAGGAGGCAGGGAGAGCATTAGACCACCTCTGTAGAATCACCCTGTGAAGCTGCAGCAGTGCTTCACTTGCAAATTGCTTTATTAGAAGGTGCAACTTGCCATGAATGGGTGAAAGCTGCTTCAGCCATCTTTTCTGAGACCTGCTGCATTGCCCCCAGATGTCCTTCCCCACAGGCTTCCTTCCACAATATGAGGCTGAAGTACTGTAGCCCTCTTGGGCCCAGAGGCTGCTTGGCTTCTGTTAAAAGATGCCTCTACCAGGATGGTGCCTCTCAGAGTTAATTGCGCTGGCTGCATTTTGGGTTTGGGAGGAGTTTGGTCTTGTTATGCCTGTGTGGGAATGAATAACTAAAGCTCACACCATTGTGTAGTGTGAATATGTCAGGAGGACTTAATCCTCTCTTCTGACATAGTTTGAATTGCTGCCTAATGGCAAAAATCTGTTTCTGGAGAAAAGAGCACAGTATAAACACTTAACATGTCCTCTTACAGTCCAAAATTACTTCCGCACAGGTGATCAGGTTCTGTGGTTCTAAGTGGGACTTGTTATATCAAATGAACTTCAAATAAAGTGCAAAAGCTAAAGTAGGAGTCCTCTATATTTGGATGAACAACAGTAGATAACAACTCTTTTTTCTTTTTTTCCAGAGATCATCCTTTGTTAAAATTAAAGAATGTCATTATAACGCCTCACCTCGGCATTAAAACAGACAAGACCACTTACATGATAACAGAGGAAGCAGTTGAAAACATACTAGCAGCTCTAAATGGTCTCCCCATGCCCAGTGAAGTGCTCCCTAGTTGATGTGAGAAAGGATAACACATCTCTTTTTATTATTTTCTTTCCCCCTATCAGCTCTAAAGGTTTTTATTCTTATGTTGTTTCCGTTAAGACAAACCTATTTCAAGCTTATGAATATAGATTTCCTGCCTCAGCTTTTTTTGCCTACACATAATGTAGACAGAGGAAATGTACGTCCTTGTCCAGTTTCATGCTTAAGCTAGTCTATACAACCCAGCTGGGAAATGCATACATTGTGTTGCATGACAGTCTTTTAGGGTAACGCAATACTTCAAAAGCCTAAACCTAAGAAACGGTTATTGCGCAAGAACCTTATTAACACTGCAGGCATCAGCTCACCCTGCAGGATTACATGGACACCAGTGGTAATATTTAATGATGGGATGAAGTTCACAGACTATGCAATACTTCACATAGCCACAGACCCATTTCAGAGTGCTCTGTACAATGGTGGTATAACAGATCCCTTTCTATTATAGAAAACTAATAGCACAGAGCAACACAATGTGATTTAGCTGAAAAGACTATGTGGAGGTCTATAAGGTACTCTATAAATTAAATATACTTAGAACATGGTAGTGCTCTGGTACAATTGTCTTCTTCTGTCACATATGTTGCTATACAGATATATCTCCAATAGAGATGTATCAACTCCTGAACTATAGCTTTAAAATTAGATGTTCAAGTTGCACAAAAAAACTTTGAAGCCATCTGATTCTCTCCACATCTAACCACATAACACACCCATTTTCTTCACATTTGATAGGTATATCCTGGATTTTTGCTTAAAAAAGAGTAACATTCCTTTAATTATTATTTTTTGGCTCCTCTAACAAATCGTTCCTTCATTTTGTTCATTCAAATTTGTTGATTTGATATACAAAGGAAAAAACCCCCATGTTGTGCTTTCAGTGGTTTTTTTTTTCCTTCACAACTAAAATGTGTAGATAGGCCTCCATTCTCAATTCATAGGGAGAATAACTTTGAGAGGGACTTTACAGTGGTCCTTTGATCTCAGGTACCAGTGAGCAGTAAGTTAAAAGATCACCCATTACATCTTATCAGCAAAGCAGTTTGGAAGTTTTGGATATGAAACAGGTAATGTGTAAGCATTTTATAGTTTGTTCGGGTTTTTTTAAGGAAGAAAATTCAAGTAGACTTAACTAAGAATCTAGTTGCTAGTTAATGAATTTTTGCTACTTGCTAGTTAATTGCTAGTAAATTTTTCCTACTTGCTAGTTAATGAATTTTTGCATTAAATGTCTGAACTTGAAATTCGTGTAAGCAAATCATACTAAAAAATCATTACCAGGATAACAAGAACAATATGTGGTTTTATATAATTACTATGAAATGTTATTATATTTTATCTTTTTATTTGTAATTTTATAGAGGATTTGGTATTAATCTTGACTGCCTTAATGTTCAGTGTATTAAAATGTATTTGGTAGAATTCAAGATGATATGATTTTGTAATCCATTCTTTTAAAAGCACTACAGCAGTCGGGAGAGACACAGCAGCACCCCATGGCTGGTTATTTCTTAGTGTGGAAGGAAGGAGAGGGATTCCTGGTGCCCACAGCAGTGCTGTGTCCCGGCTCCTGAGATGCTGTCATCACAGAAGCTAGGCCTCCTCTCCAGTGGCTGCTGACCAGCAAGGGGGATCACTTCAACGCACCCTTAGTGAACCCAGTACTGAAGCTGTGCTTCCCAGCCTCCATCTCCAGGGATGGAAGTTGAGGAAGGTGACTCTGCCCTTCTAACTCTGCTCTCGTGAGACCCGCCTGGAGTGCTGTGTGCAGATCTGGGGTCCCTAGCACAGGAAAGACATGGAGCTATTGGAGTGAGTCCAGAGAAGGGCCATGAAGATGAGCAGAGGGATGGAGCACCTCTCCTATGAGGAAAGGCAGAGAGAGTTGGGGTTGTTCAGCCTGGAGAAGAGAAGGCTCCAGGATAACGTTATAGCAGCCTTCCAGTATCTAAAAGGGGCCCACAAGAGAGCTGGAGAGGGACTTTTTACAAGGACATGTGCTGATAGAACAAGGAGGAATGGCTTTAAGCTGAAGGATGTTAAGTTTAGTTTCAATATTAGGAAGAAATTCTTTACTCAGAGGGTAGTGAAGCATTGGAACAGGTTGCCCAGAGAGGTTGAGGGACATCCTTCAAAGTGTTCAAGGCCAGGTTGGATGAGACTTCAAGCAACCTGGTCTAGTGAAAGGCATTCCTGTCCACAGCTGGAGGGCTGAAATTAGATGATCTTTAAAGTCTCTTCCAACCCAAAACAATGTATGATCTACAGTGCAAGTAACATTGTCCGGAAAATTTTCATGCATTTGTTAGCTGGGATACACACAGGACTGCCTGTGGCTGGGGTAAGAGCTGTAGTGCCTAAGGACCTAAGCCTGGCCCAGTTGCTTTACTCTCAAAGAGAGGTTTTGAGGATATTCCGAGAATCATTTAGGTTGGAAAAAACATTCTTGTGTGCAATGAGAGCTATCACTGGTGTTTGCCGGTCAGAGACAACTCTTCATCCCACATTAACTCCTGTGCAATGACTATGTGTAATGACCAACAGAGACACCAGACCACAGCTGGCCTTTGAAGACACTGTGGGGGGGAAAAGTGTGCTGGGCATTAATGCAAAATCCCTTTTATTTTGAAATCACAAATAGCACAGAAACACGACACACTTTTTAAAATCCACACAACCATTTGCAAACTCCCGTTGCTGTCTCTCGGCTTCCCGAGGGATTGGAGTGCAGCTCCCGCGCCCTTGCACCGCCTCTCCTCCCCGCTCAGCCCGGGCGGGGGTGCAGGCGTCCCGGCAGTCCCAGCTGGGCGCGGCGAGTCCCGCTCCGCCCTTGCTCTTCGGGGGTGCGGCTCGGACGCGGCGGCGGCGAGCGGGGCCTGCAGGGTGAGTGAGAGCTGCGGCGGGACTGCGGGACCCCGAACGGGGTACCGGGAGCGCCTCTGCCAGGTGGCCGCCGAGGTCCCTCGACTCTGGTGGCCGCGGCCTCACGGGGGGGTCGGTGGCACCGTCGGTAGCACCGAGCGCGTTGGGCGCGGGGGGCTCCCGCGGTCCTCTGCGACCCCCCGTCGTTAAGGGCCGGACGGAGCCCTTCCCTTCCCGCTCCAGCTCCTTCGTATCTTTAGTCTCACTGGCAGGCCGGCCGGGACAGCTGCAAACACCTCGAGCCAGGGCTCGACCGGCCCTGGACCGGGAATACTCTCCGTGAGGTCGGGGGAGGAGCGGGAGGTGCTGACCTGGCGGTGTGGGAGCGGTGCGGGAGCGCCTTGCCTTGGGCTGACGGGCAGCTGCGAGTCTCTCGCCTTTAACCTGCGGTCACAGACTTGGTTCCTTCCGGAGTCGGCAGAGTGAAGAGTTGTCAGGACACTGAAGGAGACCGAAAAAAGAAAGGGTAAACTTATGTTCAGGAAGTTAGTCGATAATTCCAAAGTTCGTAGTTGACAAATTATAGCTCTGTTAACACTAAATGAGATTTTTTTTCCTGAGCTAATTATTGAATATACTTGCAGAAGTGGCAATCAAAGGCAGAACTTGGGGGTTAAAGTATACCCTTCCACTCACATGGCCACATTCTCAAATTATCAAGACTTTGGCTTTTAAATATTGAATATTAAACATGAGTAACACCTGATAATTCATTTGTCTAAGTGTCAGCATAGTTTGCATGCCAGAAGCAATGTTTTCTTGTATTATTAACAAGATAATATAGAAATTGAACATCCTTCTGAATAACACAGTAAGAACTGAAAAATTCCCGCACGTGGGAGTGATTATCTTTAGCCAACTCTTCCGTAGTGGGAAAACAGCATGTAATGAAGCCAATCAATTCCTGTTTTTTAATTAAAAAAAGCTATAATGGATTGCTTAAGACCATGTCCTTTTGATTCTCGTTGCTTTTGCAGGGCATGGAGGGTCAGGAACTGCCTTATGTGCTAATTGACTGTATAGGAGGGGTGCATGGAGTATATGAAGACCATGTTGGATTTCTGCAGAAACATTTTCATCTCATCACCATGAAAGAATATCTTGAAAATAAGACACTTCTCAGCAAAAAGATCAGAGCTATTTATATGTGGTATCAGAAACCAGTTGTTAACAAAGAGCTGCTCCAGAGCTTGCCGAACTTGAGGATAGTTGCAAGTTCTGGAGTGGGAATAGATCACTTGGACCTGAACCTCCTCTCTAGCTTTGGTGTGAAAGTGTCCAACACTCCATTTATTGTTTCCACTGACACTGCAGACCTGGGAATGGCTCTGATGCTGGCATCTTCCAGGAGACTTGTGGAAGGTAATAACTGAAATGGTTTTAGTGTTTTTATAGAAACAGTGATTTCAAAACCTGCAGAAAGTGTGTGCTGATGCAAAGGTAAGCTTAAAAGTAGAAATGTGGAAAATGCAGGACAAGGAAAAAGTTATCTGTCTTGTTAACAATAACTTGCATTTCCAAAAAGGCATATACAGCAAGGTAGATGTGTTCTTTCTTCAGACAGCCCTAAATTCAGGCCTCTTCTCCCTCAGCCCACAGCCACTTATTCATTGAACTTCAGCTTTGCTTTTCAAGTTATAATAAAAGGGGATTAAAAGGAGATATTTTCAAGGAGGCTTGAAACCTGTCTTTGCCAAGCTGCCGTGTGTGTATGTGAGTTATCACAAACAAGCTGTCCAGAAATCTGTCCACCATGCTCTGTGTTTCTTTTCCTTGCCAACCTTGATGTATCTTCAAGGCTGCTGGGCATCGGATGGCCTTCCTAAAAGTCTTGATGATCCCACAACTGATCCATCGGTTCCACCATTCAGTATTTACAATGTCAGTGACATCTATGGCACTGCCACTTTCATTACCCCTGCTGATGAATAAGAAGCTGAGGTGCATTTCAGTTGTGCAATAATCTGTACTGCAGGCAGAGAGAGATGATGGGCAAGGTGTGTGATGTACATCCAAGGGAGGTTGCTGCTTTGGCCTTACCTCCCTTGTCTGCCAAGGAGAGGCTGGATATGTTTCTATCCTAAGCAAGAAATCAGTGTCAGCAGTCAGGTACAGTGCAGCATTATTCACTTTTTGTCCAGAAACACGATGATATTTTGTTGCTGCTTCTGTGCTTCTGCTTGTCCTACAACAAAAAGTGAAAAAAAACCACAAAACCTCAGATGCCAGAACATCCTTTAAATGACATAATTCCTTCTTTTCCTCCTCCAAGGCTATGAGATGGCAGTCTCCCCTGACACAGAGTATTTCCCTGCCGACTGGTTGGGGGCTGAGGTTTCTGGAGCGACCCTGGGGATTGTGGGAATGGGCACCATTGGTTACAAAGTGGCTGAAAGAGCCAAAGCCTTTGAAATGAAGATTTTGTATCACAACAGGAGTCAGAGGTAAAGCTGGTTGCAGCTCCATGGCAACTCTATTTTGTCACTGCTTTTAAATGTTATTTGTACCTTTCACTGTGCTTTCACTTTTTACTGAGCTCTTTATTTTAAGTGCCAAAATACATACACTTGTTTCAGGATGGTCATTAATTCCCCAATTTATACAGAAAGAAAGTCAGCAAGGAATGGGAGAGATATATCTCACTGGTCTCCCTGGGAGTTGGGGCTCCCTGATCCTTCCTGTCATGGTGGTGACACTACAGTAGACTAAGGAAAGGAGAAAACTGTCTGGGAGGACATAAGTCCTGCAACTTAGGTGAAGCAGGGATTCAGGCAGAGACATCTCACCCTTCCAGAGCCAGCTGATAATAAAAAGCCAGACTTGCCAGTCTGTTTACTGTCTTCTAGCTGTGCTCTCTGCCCCTCTGCTCCCATCAGGCCCATCCCATCCTATTCTTTTGTGGGAATCTGAGGAGAGCCAAGCAGTTCATGCCCCAGACTTGTCCTGATAAAGATCAAATGCACCAGCAGGTCCTGCTGTGCTTGTGGTTTCAGTGGATCAGCACTGATGCACAGAGCAATTAGGCTGCTGCTGACAGAAATTTCTGAAGATTTAACCTCTGCTCTGTCTTGGGGGTTTTCTCAGCAATTTTCACATGAGTTACTTTTCCCAGAGAAGGCAATTCTTGTAATACATCAGTCTTGCTTTTGGATTGGAAAAAAAATCCCTGTTACAACCAGAAGCTGTGATACAAATTAATTTATTTTATCGTTTATTCAGTGCATTTACATGATACTCATTTCTTACTTTCCATCCCCACAGATATAGAACTGCACGTTTGTGTACAGTTCACTTGGTATTATGGGAAACAGCTTAACATTTGTCTTTACTGAATTTCAGTCAGATAACCAGTTAACTGCTTTGCACTGTGGAGTGAAGAAAACAATTAAGAAACTTTTTCTCTAAGGGTGATTTGATCTTTTTCTTGTTTCTTGCGTACTGAAGTTAAATTTTGGCTTTTTCCCCACAGAAAAAAAGAAGAAGAAAGTGCCGTTGGAGCTGTTTACTGTAAAAAGATAGATGATTTGCTCCAGCAGTCAGATTTTGTGTTGCTGGCTGTGAACCTAACTCCACAGACACACAAACTGATTGGGAAGAGGGAGCTGGAGCTGATGAAACCCACTGCTACTCTCATTAATATTAGCAGAGGTGAGGTGCAACATAAACAAAACTGCATTGAGGTTTGCTGGCATGACAAGTCTTGGGAAAACCCAACTCTAATATGGAGTCCATCACTCTAAAATTTTCCACAAATTCTCTGATTACTAGATTATTTAGATGACTGTGGTCGTATCGCAGTAAAACATTTGAGTGTTCCCATAAAAACGAGCAAGCAAGTCTCTGAAATGTTAGTGAGCTTGGAGTGTTAGAGGCTCATGTATACTTACATAACCTCCTACTTAAGCTTTTTATTTATTTAATGCAGTGTTGTTGCACATTAATAATAAATAATAAATAATAATAATAATAATAATAACAACAACAACATTATGGTGGCACAGCCTGATATAAAGCCTGGCACTATACTTTATTTCATGCTGCTAATTCCCGGCTGTTCAACACTGATGCACATACCCAAGCTTTCTCCTCCCACTCCATCACACTCTGCTGCTGCTTCTGCATTGTGATCATGGCTAGCCCTGCTGTTTGCCTGACCACTGTGACTAAAAGGATGGTAAGAGAACAGTACAGAATATGAAAATAAACATAACCTTCTTACTGTAACCCAGGTCTGTTAGTGGATCAGGATGCTTTGGTGGAAGCCCTTCAAAACAAAGTTATTAAGGCAGCTGCTCTGGATGTGACATATCCTGAACCTTTGCCAAGGTAGGACATGTACTTAAATAAAATGAGTGTATGTGTGAGTTTCAAACTTGGTAAAATTTTGTGAGCACATGAGAAGTTGCATAATTTTGTTAGTATGAGTATATGATGTATGTGCACTAGGACTGCAATAGGTCCCCAGTCCTTCTGTCCCAGCCAAACAAAAATCACATTGACTCATTTGGAGGACATGTTGCATAAAACCCCACCAACCTAGGCAGCACTTTGAACTGCTCTGAGTATGCTTGGGTCATGCAATTGTTTTTGTTTGGCTTTTTTTTAAATAATTATTTTAAATATTTCCCTGACTTACCTGGAGGTGATGAAATAGATAACGAATATGCTGTGAGTGCCTAGCTCGGTATTTCTTTTCCTTTCCCAGGGATCACCCTTTGTTAAAGCTGAAGAATGTCATAATAACTCCACACATCGGAAGTGCCACCAAGAAGACACGCCGCATCATGATGGAGGAAATGACAGAAAGCATACAGGCGGGCATTGCAGGTCTTCCTATCCCTCATGAAGTGTTGCCATAACGTGGCTTGCACTTAGCATTAATGCCATTAGTGGCTATCCTGGTTTGACAAAACACTAATTTGATCACTTTTCATGTAATTATCCCATGAGTATTATACAGATAAAATATATAATGTTTAATTTGTTTAAATAACAGACAGCAATTCTGTCTGGAAAACCTGCAGTATTTTGTCGTGACCTTCAATGAAAAACCCCAGAGTCTTGCACCAGTGTAATTTATTTTGCTCACATCCCCCTACAATTGCCCGTGGATGCAACACCGAATTAAAGGAACGTGTAAATCGCGAGTTAGAGGAACTGCCTGGCACAGCCAGGCGCGTTCGAGCGGCTGCTCCAGCCGCTCCAGCAGCAGTCCTGACCTTTGGGTGCACTTTCCCTCTCCAGACACCGAGCCTGTGCACAGCTGCGCCGGCGCGGGGCTCGGCTCTGCCTGTGTGCGAGCCTTCCCCTACCCGGGCCTCAGGTTGGCCCGTGACCGAGGGCGGCTCGGCCTCACCCCGTCCTTCCCTCTCTCCCTCCGGGGCCGGCCCAGGCCGCCGCGCCGACAGGGGGAGCCGCCGCGGGAGCCGGGAGCTCAGTAGGGCCGGGCCGGGCCGGGCCGAGCGCCGCGGCGGAATGTGGGGTGCCCGGGCGGCGGCGGCGATGCCGCGGTGGTGCCGGGCTCTGCACGGCTCCGCCGCCTTGGGTGCCTCCAGGAACCTGCTGCTGCGCAAAATGCTCCGCAAGAACAAGTAGGTGCGGGGCCGGCGGGCGGCGGGGCCCTCCTGCCGGGCCGGGCAGGGCCGTGCCTTGGCGGGGTGGTTTGTGGGCGCTGGAACAAGGGGTGTAAGAGGGGCTGTGGGGTCCCCGGTAGCACGAAGGAGAACCTCCCACCCCGAGCCGCGCTACGGGCACCGCCTCCAGTGCCGCGGGGCTCTTCTGATATCGGTGCTTCGGTGTTGTGCCAAGTCACCCCCGATCTCATTTGGTCGGCAGCGGCTGAACATGAGCCAGCAGTGTGCCCGGGTGGCCGAGAAGGGCAATGGCATCCTGGCCTGTATCAGCAGTATGTGGTCAGCAGGACCCGGGCAGTGACTGCCCCCTGTACACGGTGGCACGGGTGAGGCCGGACCTCGAATCCTGTGTTCATTTTTCGGCCCCTCACTACATGAAAGACAGAGGTGCTGGAGCGTGTCCAGAGAAGGGCGACGAAGTTGTTGGGCGGTCTGGAGCACAAGTCTGATGAGGATGAGCTGAGGGAGCTGGGGGCGTTTAGCCTGGAGAAAAGGAGGCTGGGGGGACATTATCGCTTTCTACAACTACGTGAAAGGACGTTTTAGGCAGGTGGGGATTGGTCTCCCAGGTTACAAGCAACAGGACAAGAGGAAATGGCCTCAAATTGCACTGAGGGAGATTTAGATTAGATATTAGGAAAAAGTTCTTCACTGAAAGGGAAGAAAGGTCAAGCAATGGAATAGGCTTCCCAGGAAAGTGGTGGAATAACCGTCCCTGGAAGCGTTCAGAGAACGTGTACCTGTGGTGCTTGGAGGCATGATTTGGCAGTGCTGGGTCAGTGGTGGGACTCAATGATCTTAGTGATATTTTCCAACCTTAATGGATCTAAGACTCTCCAACCTTAATGGTTCTACGACTGAAGAAACTTTATTCTTTCCCCCTCCTCCCCCTGCTGTCTATGTGCATAGGAAGCTTTGCCACTGCACCCCAGCTGGGGGGAAAACTACTTGTGGGCATGAAAACCTAGGTGGTGGTGTGTGCCTTCAGGGAGGTGGCATTTTAATTACACAGAGAATACATTGTTTCTCTGAGCTGCTGAAAGATAAAACAGATTTCCTTTCCTTTTTCCAAAAGAAAGAAATTTTGGTATGACAGCCCTACCCTGGGATCTAAAATGGTAAGTGCAAGCTCTTAAGATGTTATGTTCCAGTAGGAAAAAACTTGTTGTTCTGCCATTGATTCCAACCTTGGGAAAAGCATTTTCTGAGAGAGAAATGGCAGAATTTCGTGAATGTACACTGGTGCTCCAGTTTCACTGCGACATGCCAGGATTGCCATCCAGAGAAGCAGTTTGGCTCCCCATGGCTGTTTCTTCCTCTGTATTGATTTTTCATCTGTGCCAGCATCAATGCTCTTTTGCATGCTCTTGAGTACATTGCAGAGAACTGATCTATGTTAAAACTTCTACAGGCTTAGTTTAGCGAAAAAGTTTTTTAATGTTTGTTTTTCAAACAAGCAATGCTTTTCAGTCAATACATGCTGTATTTTAGAAAACAGATTTATTAACCTGTATAACTTGCTACAGAATAGTAAGGAAACTTAAGAAACTTAGACTGTAAGACACGAAGGTCAGAGATTTTATGAACAGAAATATTCTTTTTTGAAACACTTGATACATAAGACCTATATAAAACCATCACAGCTGCAATAATGACATTCTAAGAGCATACTTAGTAGAGTGCATAGAACTGTATATAGTTACCTAGTACAAGTGTGTAACTACTGATTAATGTGTTGTTTCGTTTTTTAAGATGTACAAACCAACCAAGTTGGATGCCCTAATGAAAAATGAGCAGACAAAAACTAGGAGAGAAGATAACATACGCTGCAGAGTCTTGAATGGTCTTATTCATAAAGCTATGTCACAGATGGTGACTACCTGTGAAGTCAGTCAAGAATTTTATGATCTCAAGCTGGAAATCTGCAAGGCAAGTGCCAAAGCTACATCTTGTGTTGAGCCACTCTGGCTGTGCCATGAGGTCAGCATGGTGTGCCAAAGGAGCTCCCCTGGGTGTTGTGAGTTTTACTGCATTGCTTCTAATGTGGCAGAATGCAGCCAGATCAGGCTCTGGCGTACACACTGGGAGAGCTTTGTCACTGTTGTACTTGGCTTAGTAGACCTTTGCCACGCTAGTGCAAATACAGCTTAGGCAAACTAAATGGTTATTCTCCTGGTATGACTTTTTTTTCCCTGTTACTCAGATATAAACTCTTTGCCTTGACTTTTCATAAGAAGTCTGGTTTTACCAGAGTATCTTTCCAGGAGTCTTTTCTTCTTGTAGCTGTGTGAGAGTTGTTGCCTCCTTGTGTCACTCACCAGCAATATTACAGGCAGAAAACCTAAGTGAGGGATGAGCTTAGTTCAGAAAAAAGGCAAGCATAAGAAAATGTCATTGTAAAGCAAGATTCGAGAAAGATTTGGGATTTGTACCTAATTGTAGCTAATGGTGTAATTTGTGGGTTTGAAAGGGATGTTAAACCTCTGATTCAGGAACTAAGTCAGTTTCCGCATTCTTGTTTGTTGTCTGTAGTTTTTATCTTCCACATATGCTGTTCTGTAAAGACTAAATTATACTAGTTTTTGGCTTAAAAGCATGATGGACTTATTAGAAGGATGGGAAAAAAATTGCGCGTCATAACTGCATCTGTAAGAAAAGATTTGTTATTTGTGACTGAAATAGATGTTGTTGCCAGCTGAATTTGTTCCATCTTCAGGCAAGTGATTAAAATTACGTGGGCAAGATGAGTCTTTTGGCTCTATTTGTGCAGTACCCTTCATATAATATTTCTGTCTCTTAGGGCTTTGAGGGTTGCTTGTCTAACTTGGATTGCATGTCTGCACATAAAAATACTGGCTGGTGTGGGCAAGCCACAATATTCTCAGGAAGCACTGCTGTAACCAAAACAATTTATAACATGAGAGAGAGAAAGAAACAACCTCCTTCCGAATATAATTCAGATTTTATAACTGCTTAGTTGTGCTGCACTGGAACATGGCAGGGAGTAGGTCAGTCCTGATTTACTCCTGAGCTGATTCTGGTACAATATCATTACTTCTGTTATCAGAAGAAATTTTCTAGTAGGCTTTCTGCAATCCATCAGAGACTTCATTGTACATGAAGCGTGTGTGTGTATATATACAATTTTAAAGATATATTTGCCTTTTTACAGGTGTCCCTGTCATCAAACTTTTCAGCATGTCGTGTGTACTGGAATCCTGCTGCTACTATGGAGAAAGAAAGCTATGTGGAAAGTGTGCTGCGGAAGAGCGCTCCACGTATACGGTACTGCTGTGGGATAAACAGGCCGCTGCATAAATTCATAGCCATGGACTAGTGCCATTTCTTAAGGATTTCTAACAGTCTATATCTGACCTATTGGGATGCTTTAGGTTTCTAGATACTTAGAGTCAGAGCATCTCCTGTGATGAGCCTCACAGGGAAGGGTGGCTGCGACAGACCAGCTGCGTATTCTCTTGCTAGAGCACAGCTGGCTTACTTGGCTCCTGTGCTTTTCCAGGACTGGAGTGGGCTGAGCAGAAAACAAGAGGAGTGTGGATGAGGTTTCACTCCGTTGTACTAGACGTGGTGGGCTGGACATGGTCTGAGTGACAGAAGGCCAGAATGGCATGCTGCACAACGGACTGGCAATTCCAAGTATCTCCTTACAGATTCATTGAGCAATTCTGATTGCTAGGGACAATTTAGACCTCCAGAAGGGGTGACTAATGTTACAGAAATTCTTCACAGCACCAATTAAAAAAAAAATTCAGGATGCTACCATGTATTGTGATGCTTTTACCCATTTTTTCAGCACAGAGTCCAGTGTCCAGAAGTTTTCAGGGTATTATTGAGATTTTTGTCTCTCCCTCTTTCTTGCTTCCCCTCTGCTATCAAGCCAGTGGGTTGGAAGTTCAGGATTTAACTCCATGTGGAAGGTGACATAGGAGCATACTTGTAAACCCTTTTACTTTCCACCTGTTTCCCTAGGCTATGTAATTCCTGCTCCAGCACAATGCTCTCTTCTACTCCCAACAGCTTCCACTTTTTGAAAAGGAAAGTTGCTGGCTGGGAAGAAGACAAGGGGAGCCCTGTCAGTCCTTTCTGCAGCTAGCGTGTAGGACTAGTTGTCTTGCTCTGCTCTGAGGACTCTATCCCCCACTGCTCTCACCCATACAGTGGGGATAAGGATGCCAAATGAAGTGGGAAAAGACTTGTGCATACAGATAGAGACAATCTATTATCATCAATACTAATGTCATCAATACTCAGTGGGATCTGCAGCTGGTAGTTTTTGTATGTTATGCATTCAAAGTTGGGATTCTGCAGTGATGTATTGCTTAGCACTAACTTGAATAGCTACCCATCAGACTGTAACTTTTGCAAACCATATCTTTAATGTGCAGTACTGCCAGAATTAATTTAACACATTTTACTTGTCTTGGAGATGCTCTACTGATACTCATACTGGTGAATGCTGTATTTTTGCCAGGTATCTTCTGAAGAGTCAGCAAATTCTAGGAAACGTACCCCCAGTAATATTTATAAAAGACAAAGAAGCTGCAGCTGTGAAAGAGGTAATTCTATTCTTTGACTCAGTGTACAAATATGATGACTTAGGAGAGAGCTGATCATTCAATTCCTCTACCAATCTATATTCAAAATCACTCTTTATCTGTACCCTTTCTTCTTCAAGTTCCAAAGCACTTTAACAAACAATCTTTAGTAAGGTTGAGGCTTCTATACAATGTAAAAGACTTGTAGGTTGTATCATTAGGTCAATAAAGAAATTCTAAAAAATTTAATTACCTTTTTAAGGAATAGTATAGAGTTGCCTGATGTACATGATAATAGAAATGAGGTTGGAAGAGCTTTCTTCCACATTTTAAATGTTACATGATTTAAAATTCCAGTGAATCTAACCAATGACTTGTTTATTTTTATTTTTTCCCCAATCTTTTTCCATCTGTGAATTGTTAAAATGTTTTTAGGGAAGTGCAGATCTTTACATGGGGGATGTAAGCTTACTCATACTACATTTTTTCCTTCACTTTTAAAATTATCTTTACTATTTCACATTTTCTATCAAGGTGTTGATAGTTTTAACTACTTGAAATATTACTAGAGCAATGATGTTTCCTAGAAATTTGCTGTCATTAGGACCGTGAAGCGAGATCTCTTAAATAGTGAGATTTCCAGAAGAGAAGAATGACATCAATGAGTAGAATTTAATGAAAAAGTCTCCTCAAGCTGTTGATGTGAATAGAAGTTGAAAAGAACATGTTCACATTTCTGTGCCCTGAAGTGCCCTATTCTTACATGTGTTACTATTACAACCAATTAATTACTGTTAGTGACTTATGGGCTCCTGCAGTGTGTGTGAGCAGGGCTGGAAAGAATAGCAAGAGCTTTAGACTCTCTGGAAATGCAGTGAACTGCTTGAACTTTCTGTGGTCAAAAAACTTCTGGGTTTCACACAAGACAAGTATAAACTCTCCTTATATTGCTTCTGTCAGGGAATGACACTGGAAAGCACTTAGATGGATCGTCTTCTCCTACTTTGCAATTCATCAGATTTATATCAACCACAGATTCAAATAACAGGGCTTGAAATAATGTAATTGAACCTGATTTTTAAGTTTCGGAAGTCAAGGAAAGACCATCCAATTAAACTCCTAGAATAATGCACTGAATTAGAATTAGGGAATTAATGTAAAGAAAAGTTGCAATAAAAATTTCAGATGAGACCAAATTTTCACAATTATGTACAGTCTGTAAGCAGTGAATATACTAGATTTGTAGCATTTACTGGATAGGTGCCATGTTAAAAGGGAGTTGGGAACTCCATAATTACGTGTAATAGAAATGCAAACTTGCAGAAAGTGGGAAGAGATGAAAAAAAATCTCAATGTAAGGATGTTATGAAAAAGGATTCACAAGACTGAAGTAAGAGAACAAATAAACCAAAAATTACATGTCACACAATCCCTAGCTAATTGTTTATAATGTACAAGGCAAAAAACTTCCTAGGAATCCCTGGATACATTACACTATTTGACACAAACTTCCCAGGCAAAGAGTGGAAGCTGTTCCATGCTTATTGGAATGATGGAAGAGGCTATTTTAAAATGGTTTTGCTAAATATTTCAAATATGTAGAAAATCAAATATTTGCTGCTACATGCTTGTCTTTTTCTTTCAGGTGTGCATAAAGTAGATTTAATATAGGATCTTTAAAATGTGTTGCCTTCATGTGTTTACAGGTCGAGGACTTATTGGCAATTGCTGATTTTGGACCTCCTGAAGAAGAAGAAGAAATATTTGAAAATGATTCAAGGTGGGTCTTTTTGAATCAGAATTGTACAAGTGCCCATTTTCATCTTTGTTGGCCGACTTAAATTGGGTATCATTTGACATGACAGAAAGTATATTTTAATTAGATTTGTACGTTTTTATTATCTCAGAGTTCAGCAAATTATGTTATGAAGAAATAAAAAGTAGAAGAGAGAGTCTGTTTGGAAGACCTTACCAGAAAAGTATCTCATCTTTTGAAGAGATAAGATTTTTTTAATTGATTTTTTTTTATGTAAGAGACTATAGAATAGCCAAGGACAAAACTAGTATGTAATCATCCCAGAATTTAAATGTAGAAGACAACATTTTATTTTGTGACTTAAGTTTCTTTACCGAAGTTACACCCATTTATTAAAATTAAGGGAAAATATTTCGTATTATGTATGCTCTGATTTACTTCCATATTTTAGTGTAGACACATTTTCATAGGCTATTTTGTCGTTGATTCTTGTACACAGGTCTGACCACAGCTTTGCAAAATATGGAAAAGGAAGGTCTATTTTGTTACGTATAAGTGAACCTCTGTAAAACTGTGGAGAATGACTGAATTGTCACTTGTAGCAGCACAGTGTGTATTCTTTCAGAGGCACCCATAACGTGGTATCAGAACACAGTCTTAGAAATCAGCTGTGTTTCATGTCTATACCTTGAGTGACATAGTCATCAGATTTGTTGCTTGCAGACCCAATACTTGTTCTGGTATTAATATCTTGATTTTTGTGAGGGAAATGAATGTAGAATTTCTAAGATTCCAAGACTTGATGTTGTTCATGATAATCAAATTTTAAAAAAATGCTTTGCAGCAGTAATATTTGTCACTTACTGGTAATTTTCTCATAAGAACACCAGTGCTCCTCTACTTGGCCATTTTTTTCTGATATAAGTTTGGTGTGTTATACGTGAGTTACAAGTTTGCTGACTAATCTCCCTAAGTTAATTTAGCATTCTTCTGTGAGGGATTTTTGGCTATTGAGAGATAGGGCTAAACAGTCTATTGGAATAGTGATTTTGTGGACTGGATGCTCTCAAAGCCAACAGCCTTTGTACTTGGGTGCTGCAGTCTGTTGGTAGAAATGCCTTCTGGGCCCTGGCGTCTCACAGGATGGTTCATCGGGGGCAAATCAGAAATAGCTTCCTGTGGGAAGTCATTGCTGACAGATTTCCCACATGGCACCTAACATCTTCCTCTGTGTCTTGTGGAAATACTGAAGTCCAGCATAAGGTGTCATATATACATGGGTCTGATGTCTTTTGGGCACAGGCTGCTGCTTCTCACTTTTTGGAAGAGCTCAGGAGAAGTCTTAAATTCCTTGGGACTCCAAGGTCCAGTGTTCACTCTGTTACCTGTGTACCCCTCTTTAAAGAGACAAGCAGTTTCATCTAGAATGTCATTGTTTTATTGGCTTTCCCCCATTAAATCTGTTGACAGGCTTATACCCAGACTGTCCTCAGGCATACGATACAATGGTATCTCTTCCTTCTTAACATGGGTAGCACGGTGCTGAACACAGGGAATTTATAAAGTCAAACTGAAAACTCCAGTTTATTTCCATATTACTCAAGTTGTCAAAATTACCCCTTGAAATATGCACAGAGAGAAACCCCCCAATATTTGTTTTCTTTTTCACAGTAAACTGTTCTCTTCAGCAACTCAATCTTCAGGGCCACCCATGCGGTCTAATCTGTTTGGTATTGACCATGAACTGCTGAATAAACAGATAATGGACTATAAAAGACTGAAAGTGTCAAGACATATAGAAAGTATTCCCTGGACAGAAGAGCAGGAGCAGCAGCTTTCTAAGATTCGGAAGAAAATGAAAAAGAGAAAACCAAAGAATCCTGATGATGATGACATTACACCACAGAAATACTTACTGGACAAATATGACGCTGATTACTGGGATGATAACACTGAATCGGTCTCAGACTATGAGTTGGAGGAAGAGGTAAAGGAACTGGAGATGGATGATGGCAAACATTTAAGTCATCCTGCTGATAAACTAAAATGAAGTGAAAAAGCCATTCCTTTCAAAATGGAGGATACCAATAGCAAAAGAAAAAGACTGCCATAGATACTGAAAGGTTGTTTACCTGTTTACCACTTCCATATGTAAGAAAAACAAAAATGCCATTTGTGACATTCTGTTAAGCACCTTTCAAGCTGCTACAGTTGTGGAACTTTGAACAAGAGAGCAGTTTTATAATAAAATACACCAATTGCAGCACTGAGGTAAAACTTCTTGCAGTTGTGCTGATTATTTCCAATAAAATTATAGTTTCTATATTGCAAGAAAATGCCTTTTTCTTTTGAGTGACTTGGATAAAAATTATCACAAAGTGATGGTGTCATTCTGAGGTCAGGAAGGAAGAAGGAAGCAAAATAATGACAGTGCTGTTCAGGCTTCAGCCCACAAAGACCAGGACAGGGTATTCTCTAGAGGACCCAGTCTAATGGAGGGAACTCTTTCTACAAGGTGAAACTCATTGGAATTATGATCAGTAAAGTTACAAATCCGAAAGAAAATAAATTTAGAAAATTACTGTTGTGCAAGGGAAACTGCATCCAGAAGAGAATGGAGAACTGCTCATCCCTTGGGTAAAATCAGGCAAAGCATTGACTGTGACTTAAAAAATGTATTAACAACTCAAAAACTCGAGAAAAAACAACAGGCAAGAATGCCCCAGTAACTGTTTGAGATCTGAAAATGAATAGGAGATTATATAAAGAGTGAGAATAAAGCTTTCTGACTCAAGCACGTAAAAATAACAGCATGATTGTGTAAATTCAGAAGGGCAGAAGCTTCAAAGAAATTTTAATGAACAAGGCAGTAAAATGGAATTCTATGAGAAATACAGAAAATTTAATCCTTTAGTAAAGAAAGACAGCACAGGGGAGGTTACACTCTAGTAGAATCACAGAATGGTTTGAGTTGGAAGGGATCTTAAAGATCTTCTAGTCCCAACCCCTCATGCCATAAGCAAGGACACCTTCCACTAGACCAGAGTCCATCCAACCTGGCCTTGAACACTTCCAGGCATAGGGCATCCGCAGCTTCTCTGGGCAATCTCTTCCAGTGTCTCACCACCCTGACAGTGCACAGTTCCTTCCTCATATCTAATCTAAATCTTTCCATTTAAAACTGTTACGCCTTGTCCTATCACTACCTTTAAAGAACACTGCAATCATCAGTCATGGTCAATGTGGGTTTCATATAGAAAAAGTCCTGTTTAAGTAATTTAGTATCTTTTATAATAAGGTCACCTACCTATGGCATGAAGGGAAAGTGGTGGATGTAGTTTTTCTGGGTTTTTGCAAGGCTTTTGGTATTGTGGGACAAGTTGTGCAGCTGTAGGATGAGCAGGTTCATGGTGTACTGGGTGAAGAACTGGCTGAAGGGCAGAGCTCAAGGGTTTCAGTGAATGGGGCTATATCTGGCTGGTGACCAGTCCCTTGTGGGGCATCAGGGCTCAGTTCTAGGTCAAATTCTGTTCAGTACATTTATCAGTGATTTGGATGCAACAGTTGAATGCGCCATTAGTGAGTTTGCCGATGATACCAAATTGATCTGGATAGATTGGAGCACTGAAGAAGGAGTAATACCAGGCACAAGTCTAAACTGGGAGAGGATTGGCTGGAGAGCAGTCCAGCAGAAAGGGGTCTGGGGTTGGTGGTTGGCAACAGGCTCAATATCAGTCAGCAGTGTGTGCCTGAGCAGCCCAGAGGGCAAACCATGTCCTGGGACACATCAAATACAGCATCACTAGCCACTCAAAAGAGGTGATTATCCTGCTGTATTTGGTGTTGGTGTGGCCTCACCATGAGTATTGTGTGTGGTTGTGGGCCCCACAATTTCAAAAGGTTGTGAAGGTCCTTGAATGCATCCAGAGGAAGACACTATAGTTGGTGAAAGGGCTCCTGTGAGGAGCAGCTCAGGACATTGAGTTTTTCGTGTTAGGAGAGAAGGAGGATGAGGGGCAACCTCACTGCTCTCTACAGCTTTCTGAGGAGGGGAAGGGGAAAAAGGTCCCTCTTTTCCCTGGGACTCAGTGCCAGGTCATGTGGAAATGGCTCAGAGCTATGTCCCTCAGAGGAAGTTCAGGCTTGACATAAGGAAACGTTTCTTTACCCAGAGGGTGATCAAACCCTGCTGCAACAGGCTTCCAAGAGAGGTGGTCCATACCCCAAGCCTATCAATGTTAAAGAGGCATTTGGAAAATGCCCTTGCCTTTTAGCAACTATGCTTTTTAGTTTGGTCAGCCCTGAAATGGTCAGGCAGTTGGACTCAGTGTTCAGCTCAGCTCTGTGATTCAATTTGATTTGATTTGACTCCTGTTGCTCTCTCCTCCTTTCCCTACCAGTACATGCTAAGGAAATTGATGACATTTCTTCCCAGCCCTGCACTGGAGAAGGATGGAATGGGCTGCCATGTCCCAGCCTGGGCATTGGCTCTGTCACTTTGTAGCAAGGAGGCATGTACCTTCTGATGGGGGTGAGAGCTGTGCATCATCTTGAGATGATTTATCCACTTAAACACATTTGCAAAAAGCACACAGAAACTTTGTATTTTGAAAGTCTTCTGTGTTTATCCAGTTTAGCTGGATCTCCACGGGATGTCAAATCCCATGTCTCTGACACTAGGGGACCAAAGATCTGGGCTTTAAGATCAAGCCCTCAGCCTGGAGCAGGAGGTGCTCCAGAACTAAGTGGTTACAAATCATTTGATGTGAGCAATACATGTTCATTTTCCTGTGGATTTTTTTTTCTCCTTGTACTCAGCGGTAGAAATGCCTGAGCTGTTTCCCTTGGAAACACATTAAAAGACAAGACTCAGATATGGCATACAAAATGTGCTCCAGTCACATGGTAAAACTTTCAGAGATCATTGGTGGCTTTAATCTTTCTGAGAGCTGTCTACCTCCATTCATGTGGAAATGTTCAAAGTTTAACCAAAAGCTTGGTAAATCTCTTATTCCTTTAGAATTTAGTATTTTGAGTCTTGAAAGATGAAGGAATGTACTATTCTTGCAATTTTCTACGTTGGGTACAAAATTAGTATGTACATTCAGACTATGTAAATAAGGGCATTTCTACCACAGATGTTCATCTGATTGTGGTGATGACAGAGCTGAAAGACAGGGTTTTGGTTCTTTCTGCATGAACTCTGCAGAGATGTAGAGAGCATGCATGATTTCCTCACCATTCCTTCCCAATGCACCAAGGGACATTTGCTACTACACTGTTGATGGTGAGGTCTTCCTTTTGGAAAGAAGTACTGAATTGTTTTGTGTTCTTGACCATCATTTTCCTTGTACTTCAGCAGCTCTTTTTCTTCTTTGGACTTCATCCTTGCTACCTTTCTTGAAACTGATGTCAGCCCTCTCAGCCTTTGTCTTGCTCCTGCTAGTCATCTTCTTATTCTGTAGGTCCTCCATGCCCTTACTCAGCTGCTTAGTCTTTGTTTGCCTTCACCCCAGGTAGAATTTCTCCTTCTTGAACCTGCGGAATAAGAAATGTCCGCAGTGGTACAGGTGAGTAGAAAAATATGGAGCGCATGCTCAGTGAGGAGTGGTCGTACCTTGGATATGGGTAGCTTTTGGGGTGGAGGTGTTTTTTGGTATTATAATGAGCAAAGTTCATCCACAGGACACGATTTTACCATAAAATTAAGTAATTGCTCATTCAGCAACCAATATATCTCTTATGTGGCAGATGCTATACGGTTTATCAGCTACAGGGTACCATTAACTTCGCATACTTGCAATGGTTTACAACAGAGCCTGGCTGTGGTGTCTCCACTCTGCTCCACCCTCCGTTCTATTTCTCCTAAGGTCAGTGCATCAAGCTTCCCTAGTGCTGCCAACAACTAAGGTTGCAGGCCATCTTGCTCGGGTAACAGATTCCTTACATGCTAACCACATTCCACCCTGGAAATTTCCTTAGGATTACAACTTCTCCTAGGATGTGGATATAACTTTAGTCTCAATAATTTTTCCCCCAGAAATTCTAGTAATAACTCCACACCCTGTGACCTGTGCATGCCTCTAGGGACATTTGCCTAATCCTATATTTCCAGGCTGGAGCAGAAACCCATGGTGCTTCACCTGATGTTGTTCTACCTATTTCTACAGTGCAGTGCTTCAAACCAAGTTCTTATCATAGGATTTAACTCTTCTGTCAGAGCTTCAGCTGGTATGGAATATTTGGGCTGTAGAAATAGATCATGAGATACAGTTCTTTTTGTTTCATGGGTGCCATGAAATCCAGAATATGATGTGGACAAGGAAACCTGCTTTTCTTGAACAATGGTTTTCTGCAATCTAAATTCAAATGACCTGACCATGAACTTCATTCATTCATATATTTGGTGGCAACAAAGCCTGAAAGGTGAAGTCCGAGAGATGTGTTAATGAGGCTTCCACCCATCGGTAGCCCACTGGAGTCCAGTTCCATGCTGTCACAACCAGCAGATCCAGCCCTCTGCCAGCTGGGTGAGCAACGGTGTGAGTGGGCTTCCAACATGAAGGAATTGAATATCTCCTCCTAGAAAAGGAAATAACTACGGCTGGAATTAACTGAATTTCCATTTTAGAAGTTTCCTTAGAGAAAGTGTCAGTCACTGAGAAAGCTCCAGGAGATGAAACACTGGTGGGTCAATGTGATGCAGTTTGTGGCACTGCTGTCTATGGGGATAAGCTTCCATTTAGAAAAAAATTCAACACAGTGATCATTAGCCTGCTCCTGATAGTTATAGTCTGAATATGGTGGCTGGCCAGCTGAAAGTGAGAATTGCAGTAATCTGTAGAATCAATGTTAAGTGTCCTACTCTTAAAATTAATTACTTCTATTGCTACATCTGCCTCTTGATATCTTTTTTTACTGGAAGCGTCAGTTCTGTCAGATGAGCTACATATAATACTGTTAGTGCTCTCCACTGAACTCAGTTTAGTAGTTGTAAAGCAGAGCAATAAATACGTAATTGAGGTATGCTGAGCTAACATTCTTGGATGACTTGAAGGATTGTGAATACAAGTAACATAAATTCAGGAGAACCCATGGATTGTCCTCTCTTAACTAGTTTTATTTTATTTTGTTTGTTTTTTTTAGATAGGTGATAATCCAGTAAAGATATTCCACCAGTTGTTTCTTCCCAGGAACACTAATGACAGCTAGGTTTGTGCCAATCATGTGTTTAGAAAGGCTCTACACAACTTTGCACAAATTATTTCTGTTCTCAAATGGCCATCCCTACAGCCCTCCTTAAATCTTTCCTACACAGATAAA